CGCATGGGGGGAGGAGAAAGGGGGAGAAAGGAAGATCATCAACGGCGGCCTAGGCCAGCATGGCAGGTGTTTTACCGCGTCTCTCATGTAGTCCCTTGTTCTGGGAGAGATAGTGTCACTGTAGTGGATGGGATCCCACCACCTGCCAGCCAGCCAAGGAGGGCCTCCGACCGACCAACCCCCAGGGAGGGAGAGGACCCAGGGACGGTAGACCGAAGTCAATACCTCCGGGTGGGAGAGGAGAGAGTAGCCAGACTCCCCTAGGCCGAGGCCAAAGGCAGGAGTGGGCAGGAGGGAGGAGAATGTTTCGCGACGAAACAGCAAACTCACGATAAAAACCGTGGTGTTGAGTTTTCAATCGCCGGAGGTGTAGCGGAGACGGAGGATGTCGGATAAAGCAACTATACAATATAAATATATATATCATGCAGTTTTAAGGATGTTAGATATTTATCAAGACTCTTGCCCTTTTAGAGGAATAACTATGCTTTGTACTGGAGATTTTGGACAATGTCTTCCAGTTGTTCCTGGTAGTTCTTGATCACAAATTATCAACTTTACTTTAATGCATACTACCTACTGGCCTCAGATTCAAGTCCTACAGTTAGAGGAAACTTGAAATATTTGTCTGATATATGCTAACATGACTGTCAAAGCATATATAATAGAAAAAAAAATATGCTGATTATATTCTCCAAATTAGAACTACAACTAAGGCTTCTCCTGTTTTCAATCATATTACCCTTTATCTAACAATGCTTCTTTCTGATAATGGTATACAAGATTTAATAGAGGAAATATGCCTACATAGTCTTTTTGCCTCTTCTTTAAATCTGTCAATTGAGGTTTTAGCTAAAAGAGCCATTCTAAGAGTACAAAATATTAATGTAGACTATATCAATAATAAACTTTTTATTTACCAAACCAGTAATTCAGCTATCAAGACCTATCTTAGTGCTAACACTGTTTCTGATGAGAAATAAACAATGTATTCTTCTGAGTATCTTAATATATTACAACCTTCTAGAGTTCTACTACGTTCACTATATTTAAAAGCCAGTATACCAGTTATGCTTTTATGAAATTTGAATTCATATCAAGGTCCTTCTAATAAAACAATACTTAAGATCACAAGTCTTTTATGAAATCTAATATGTGGTAAGATTTATTAATTCATTCATTTTTTTCTAATTAAGTATATTATTATTAAGATTATACTAATATGATATTTAATTTTGTACTTAACAAGTATTATAATGACAGACACAAAGACTGGAACTGAAGTTATGATTCCTTGAATTCATATCTCTTTTCAAGAATTATAAGTTATTTCTGTAAATCTGATTCAACTTCAGTTTCCAATTCAGTTAGTATATCTAATGACTATAAACAAGATACAGGGGCAATCATTAGGACATGTTGGGATCAGTTTATGTAAGGAGGTATTTGGACATAAGCAATTGTATGTTACATTATTAAGAGCAACAACTTGAAGTAGTGAAAGGATCAAAGCATTCATACTTGATTCAGTATATTAAGAAGAAAGGTTGTGCAAAAATGTTGTATATTCTGAGGTTTTTTATATATAAGTTTTTCTATTCTTTTTTTTTTAATATCTCTGCCTTTTCTACTCTATGATTTGATTGTTCTCTTTTATATTCTGTTTACTTTTATCTCCTACCTTTCTTATTTGTCCTCACTGAATTTGTCTATTCATCTTTTCATATGCTCTTATTTTCTCTTTTACTTTGATTATTTCTTAAGACTTTAATTTTTCTTATTAATGGTTTTTTTTCAATATATATCTACCATTAAATTTTGTGGGTAAATTGCTATTTATCAAATATAGTAATCACTTAAAACTACACTCCATTTCGACCCCGTGTGGTAGCCACACGGGTGACTATCTTGTGGAATTATGATATCCATGAGGGTTGATTTCAAAGTGCCCGACGCCATATGACAGCCCCCTCGGGCTCCGGCACGAGCGACGGCAGGTTAGGCTAACCTACCGCGCATGTCGCCAGTCAAGACACTGCCATGGTACGCCCTACCCGGTCCGGAAAAACTGGGACGGAGCATGTGATCCCTGCAAAAGAGCATCGGAGCCTCCTGCTCACAAGGATTGTACTGTACAGTACGGCACTGTGCTCGAGTACTTGTACAATACGGTACCGGTAGTCCGATAGCTCCCATCTTCCCTACCACCACCATCCTGGCGGGCGGGTTGGCTTGGCGGGGCAAGGTTTCATGGGTTGTCACTCGGTATTTTATATTTTGTGCTTTGTGTTATGTGTTTTAGGGGTTTATTTTTGTAGTGTGCATGGATGTCTGGGTGCTGAGGGCTGGATGCGTTGGCATCGTAGATTTAGGTGCCGTGGTGTCGGACGTCGTGCTGAGCTTACCACGGATACTGTATATTGTAGTATCCCCTAAAGTTATCTGGTCGCTCAACTGTGATGTTGTACTATGGTAGTGTGTCCGAGCCTCCGTCCATCCTCCCTTCTAGCGGTGTGTCATGGTTAGGGTGCCATTGAGGGAGAGCACATTCAATTGCGCGGCGTGGGGCAGCATGATCACGGGGTTTTGGCCGCCGAGCCAACGCGGCGAGAAGGAAAGTTGGATGCATGATACGGCACTTACAACTTGGTGCTCCTACGCAATCCTAATAAATTGACCGATGGGGCGCTTAATATTTTGGTCATACGCGGGTAGAGTATGCTAGAGACATCGTATGAGTACGGAAGGGCAAAGCCGGACAAAACGGCGAAACAAAAACAAACACCACTTCTACTACTACTTCCCCTGCAGCTTCCGAATCCTCTCCTCAGCCGCCCTAGCCCTGCGCTCCCTCTCCAGTCTTACCTTCGCCTCCGGGGTTAATCCCTTCTCCTCCTCCTCTCTCCGGCTGAGTCCCATAACCACAGAACTGGCCAGTGACCTCGCCCCGACCCTTTCCGGGCTCTTGACCTCTTGCTGTTTCAATTTCTCGAGCTCCTTCCGTCTCCTAGCTTTCTCTTCCTTCTCGTTGTCTGCCCTTTCCCGATTCTCACGTTCTTCGGCTTGCCCCTTTGTGAGTGCTGTTGGGACCCTGGCCCCCTCCCAGTCCCATTTCGACTCGCCCAGCTCGGCCCTCGCGACCCTAAACGCGTCGCGGGTTGCTCGGTCGCCGGCTAGTTCGAAGGGGGTTTTTGGCTGCTGGGGGTTGGTGCATGTAGGGTCTGAACCGGCTTTCGTTAATAGTGCTGATACGACGGCCGGGGAGTTTGATGATGCTGCCAAGTGAAGGAGAGTTGGGGAGTGGTGGTTTGGGGGGTGAAATTGGAAGTCTGGAGATAGTTTGTTTGTGGTCAGATAGGAGAGGAGCGCTGCAGCTTTGGATCGGCGGACGAGGGCCGCTAACTGTGTTGAGTGGAGGATCTGGGCTTCTTCTTCCTTGCTGAGTTTTGGCGCCTCAGGTTTGGCAGGCTTGACGGTGGGGGGCTCTGCTGCCTTTTTGGACTCTTCCGCAAGCGCTGCCAGTGTTGCTTCGTCGATCCGGGAGATCTTCACGCGGGTGAGCTCAGTGAAGCAGCGGAGGAGCTCACTTTGGGTTGCTCTCCTTGTTGTGAAGGGGAACCCGCGGATTCTTGGATCATGGCTTCGTAATGGCGCATCCTCGTAGCCAAATAATGTCCGTCTATTTACTGACCCAGTGGCTCTGATAAATATGAGTTTAGCGGTGTCTATGAATCCCCGCCAGCTTGCCAGCAAATCCCGGACTTCGGTCATTAACATGGCTTCGTTGTATCTTCTGATCTGGGCACCGGCAGACTGAGCATTTCCTTTTGCTGAATCGTTCGAGGACTGCGCCCCTCCCTGCTTTCGTCTAGTCGTGTATCGATGGAACGTCTTGTGCGCCAGTACTGTAACCTCACGCTCCATTGTACCCTGCCTCTTCAAATTTCTGGGGGCAAGGGAGACGACCATTGCGGCAAAATGACCGCCACCAATCATGCACATGAATATATGAGCCGGATTCTCCTCGGGGTTTGCCTTGAGTTGGCTAGACTGTAGTCCTGAAATGTAGTCCGCCCCATCCCGCTCGACATGCGGGAACAGCGCCCGGTAGACTCCCAGAGAAACGGTATGTGGTAAAAGTGGGGAAGAGTACCAAATTATCGGTGCTTTTCCGGGCCCCGTCTTGGATGTCTGGTGGGGTGACCCGGTGGCCTCACTCGCGATGCGAGCCTTCCGTCGGAAAAGCGTTGAGAGGGGATCGTTGTCGTCCCCGGAGGATTCGCTATCATTTTCGGAGCCGGAAATACTTTCGTTCATATCTTGTTGGACAAACATTAGCGAACACGTCCTCAAAGGGTGGGTGGTGAGATTGCTCACCTTCCAGCATCTTCTCAAACTCGGCTTCCGGCACCGCGGCTTGTCCTGCTATCCTGCGTTTGAGGTTGAACCTGTGAAGATCAGATCGCACGTGTGCTTTCTGTTCTTCTACCGTGGTGCTATTAACCCCGCAAAGTCCGCATGATGTTGCGGTAGCCTCTCCATCATGATTGGGGGTGGAAACGGGGGTCTCGACGGCTTCCGGAGGTGAGGGTGTTTCGCGGCCGGTTTTTAAGGCCAGATTCGAGATGAGGTTACTAGGGAGATCGAACACTTGATGGGTAAGTATTAGTTCGGAGGCGATGTGGAGGGTGATGGGGATTATGTACCGTATAACGGCCTCCTGAGAAGCTGTTCTTCGTTAGACATTGTGAACCGCTGTAGTGGTGTGTGAGGTGTAAAATGTCGGGAATAGAGGGGTGGAGGGTGCGGGGCGCGGGGACGGATGTACCGGTGAACTCGAGCAAAGAATATCGGGTGAAACAGTTGGGCACTGCTCTCAGTAAGATTAGCCGATGTCCGAAGATGCAAAGTACTAGTACAGTATCGGTCGGTATGCCGGTATATGCGCCACTTTGAGGGGAAACTGATGTATCGTACGGGCACGCTCCTTGGTGTTTGAGATTATTCAGGATATGTTCAAGCAGCGCGCGAGAGTAAGCGTAGAATGATACTTGTGTCGAGATTTGTGTTGAGTCAAAGGGCACTGTGGTGTGGCAGAATAGGGCACAGCCAAGACACCGTCATTCCGCCCACGGCTCGGGCTATGGCTCTGTCCCTCTTGCCCAACATGGCGGCACCGTCACACAGAAGGGGACCACTTCAGACACTTGATCGTGCTGTGAAAGCTCCCCAAGTTCTTCTGCCGTCGCTTTACGTGCCGTGGAGAGACGGGGGAGGGGGAAGTGGAATCCTTGCCGTGGAGCCCAGCATCGTATATCGACGGCACGGGTGTCTTTATGAATGGCGCGAGCAGTACGGTACGGTACAGTGCAAAGCGGCATGTAAACGCCAGACGCTCAATACGCATATTCGGCACGAAAGAGGCTGTGAGGCTGAAGTGTTGCGCGTACTGTACTTGTAACCATCATCCCCATACACAGGTATACCGCAGAAGGTACGATACAGCGAACTATCACCATATGAGACCTATCGACCATACCCTCCACCCTCCGGAAACCAAGACCACACACACACACACACACAGCAGGAAGCATCATACCGGTATCATACCAGCACTCGACTCTAGCAACTGACCGTCAGGGTCACCTACCGCTTGGCTTTCCACCGTTGCATAATATTCAACAAGTGCAAGAACCCACTGTAGTCATCCTTCAACTCTCCAGTCTCTTATCATACTCCTTCCTTTCCCCCCCTTTTCTCTGCTCTCTTGCCCCCCATTGCCGCCGACACTCTCCGTGTCCCTGATGTTTGCACCGCTTTCACCCTTCGACATCACGATCGTCTGAGCAACCATGACGACTACCATTCACCGCCAGATAGGCAAACTGGGAAAGAGGTCGGCGGATGAGGTAAGTTTGTTCCAACTCTCTTGATGCTTTGGTTTGATCCGTCCTAGGGCCCGGCCCGGAAACTAGCCGCTTACTATGATAGGCTACGGTAGCGATGCTCATCAAGGAGGTGAACGATGCCGAGGTCCTGCTGGGGAAGGTCTGAATCCCAATCCCAATCCCAATCCCTACCCACTCCTTGCATTGGCAACCGCGGGAGAGAGAGATGGTGTGGAGACGAAGGGGATCAAATGCTGAGAATCTCATCTTTTATGCAGCTAATTGAGCACACTAAAGCCTGGCGAGATTCCTGGTCCGAGATCTTTGTCAATCAGACCATCCTTACCGATAGCTTCCACGATATATACAAGACTATTCCGCTGCCTCAGGATTACAATATTCAGGTCGCTGAGACTCCAGTTCCGGTTCTCAGAAAGGTTGCGAGACTGCATGCTGCTCAGAATGATCTCAAGGCGGATATGACGGAGGAGACCGAGCGGGTGGATAGGATGCTGGTGGAGCGACTGTCCGAGGCAAAGGTATGCTACCAGATGGCTCGTAAGCGCGTTTGGTGAGCAGCTATAGCTGACGGGGAAAAGGCAGCATTGAAACCGATCAAGAAGGCTATCGATAAAAGGGAAAACAAGAAGCTCGACTTTGAACGCTTCACTAAAACTGTCGAGAACCAACGTGGGAAGAAGAACAAATCTGACAGGTCAGGCCCAGCACGGCAATTTTGGGGTGGGGCTGATGAAAGGGGACGTTTAGGGATTATTCGGTCCTTTCGAAGGCAGAGTTGGACCTTGAAAGAGCACAGAATGTATGCCGAGGCCTAGCATTAGAGAAATTGTTCAGTACCACTCGCTAACAGGGCTTTTCACTACTACTTCCCGTCCCGCGCAGGCATACGAAAATGCTGATAATCACCTCAAAGACTGGGTTCCTGAGGTTATGGCCAAAATCACCGAGTTCCTTCCTTGCATCGTCGAATCGATAGTGCAGACTCAGTACACATTGCTCTCGAACACGTATTCCGCCGTCTACGAATATGCGAATGAATTCAATTTTACGGATCCCGATGGCGAGGTGGTCATAGCTGAGTGGGAGGATCTCTTCATACCCGTCCAACAGCAAGTAGAGTCCGAAATCAGTTTTATAGCGAGGGGGAAGGCTATAACTATGCCTATGAGCCAATTGGCCCAAGAGAAGAGCTATATTCCGAGCATTCCAAGGATTGGGCGAGGGAAGAAGCCTCCGCCTCCTCCGCCTCCAGCTGGCGCACCAGCGGCTGCAGCCCCGGAAGAAAAGTCGAGGTTTGGAAAGATGGTACCGAGCAGGTTTTCCCGCGAGAAGGAAGAACCAGCCCCATCGCCGCCAACTCCCAGGTCAAGCAAACCTTCCATCAACAGCGCAAGAAATTTTTCTAGCAACCACGAGAGACAGGAATCGCCCCCACGCCTATCTTCACGGCCTACCATTGGTGGCGCAAGGGCCTTCTCTGGAGGCCACGACGGAGGGATGTCTCCTCCACCACCAGTTTCAAGGGCTAGGCCTACGATTGGAGGGATAAAGTCTCGGGTTTCTAATGCAAACGTATCTGCTTCTCGGGATGAGTCCCCTCCGCCCCCCCTCCCGGGACCAAGGCCTGGGCAGCCAGGGTCCAGACAGAATTCGGCGGGAGAGGTTCAACAGCATGATTTTAGGTCCGTTATAAAGTCTAGAAGTGCAACGCCTCTTGCGAGCATTGCGCAAAACTCACTCGCACCCTCCCAGAGGTCAGATTTAGTGCGGATAAGATCTGCAGGGTCGGGCGATGGTCGACCACCTGAAGAGCGGCTTTTGGGGGCTGTTTCGCCGTCCGCAATTCGTGCTGCTGAGCGATCCTTGTCAATGGGGGCCTCTGATTACCAGAATTCAAGGCCAGCTGTATCGCGTTCACCGACAGCGGCTTCGATATTGTCCTCGAAGACCACGGTGTCAGATGCCGGGTCCTTATCAAGTATCGCGGGGAAAAAGAAGCCTCCGCCACCCCCGCCGCCAAAGAAGAAGGGATTAGGAAAGGGCGAGACTTGGGTTCGGGCTTTATTCCCTTTTGAAGGCCAAGATAATGGTGATCTAGTATTCAACGAGGGCGATAAGATTAAGGTGCTGAAGAAGACTGAAAGCACCGATGGTACGGCATATCTATTCATATTCCCTTCTAGGGTTTTCCGATTAGAGGATCCGACTAATATCCTGTCAATAATAGATTGGTGGGAGGGAGAAGTGCACGGGCGAAAGGGCCAGTTCCCCGCGAACTATACGGAAATCATCGCCAGTTGACGGATGATATTTTTAGGGGTGAGCAAGCAGGCGCATATGTTTTGTGGTTCCTGTTGCTTCAAGCACGGTTTTTGTCCAGCGGTTTGTGGATGTCAGTAATCGGCATGGGACCCGATAGTCAGTTGCCTCCAATTAAACATACAAAAAATACAAAAATCATTTTCATTTTTATTTTTTATTAACATCGTACGGGTGTCTCGCTTTTTCCGAGCTATCCTATCCTACTTGCGGCCCTTTAAATGGTGCAGACTTCATTCCTTCTAAGCCTAACAGGAGTCAGTAGAGATTTTTGTGAAGCGAGTGATAAATTTATGAAATGATGAACAGCTTATTTTCTTGGCGCGTAGGCTTAGTGTTCTAAAGGACATCTGCTGGCTTCTTCGGTTTCTTCTCTCCTCGCCCTTCTCATCTGCCAACTCTTGTATTATTTTAAGGCGCACTTTCCCCACACAACCCTCAACTCTATCCGTGTACACTGTTTCCTTTTCTCATCTCCTCAGTTTTGCCGTTCAGCCTCTTTTCCACATTTTTTGCCTTCCTTTCCATAGACATCATGGACAGAGCTCTTGACGATGTGGTTCGCGAACGTTCGGTATTTACTCTGCTTCCCCCCTTCTGAACCGCCTCAACTGACCATTATGCGCAGTATGACAAACACAGTAGCAGTATCAGTAATGGCAGAAGGTCTCGCCGTAACGCCCGAGGCGGCGTCAGAAAGGTGATATAATGAAACTCCATCCCGGTTTAAATTTACTATCGTCACTAGCACTATTGCCAACACCAATCGTTGATCTAGGCGTGTCCCCACCAACTCCTGTTTATTCAACCCTCCTCCCTCCTGCCTATAGTTCTTCGTTTGTTTAATTTCGCTCTGTTTCTCGAGACCCCCCCCTGCGGGGGCCAAGGATAAATCCAAGCAAACTACATACGCACAGAACCCTTTTTTGAAAGAGTCGGTCTAGCTAACGTTTCTTCGTCGCTGCGCCCTCCTTGGAATACACAGACTGGTCGTCGCGATAACACCTACAATGATTCACTGTTTGGCGCCCTTTTCCTCTCCAACCCCTATTGTTCCTTATTGCTCGTGTCCGACTGCAGCAGCTAACATTTGGAAAGTGCTTGGGTTCATGACAAATATGATGGTGATCGTAAGTTCTGTGAACCCTTCCTCGAGGAAGCTGAATGTGTAATCCCAAGTGGACACAAATGAGTTGCTGACCGATTGATTGAGTTGGTTTAGCGACAAATGAACCACTGCGACGGGCCACTGGCTCGGATATGCGCCATAACCCTGAGGCGGCAATGTATGTCTATACAGTCAGAGGTTTGGGCTTGGCCGGTCCGATGTGCCTTTACTGATTGGTGCTGTAGCCCTGTTGGAGCCGGCAAGCTGAGGGTCGAGAATATCCACTATGAGCTTGGAGAAGAGGAACTTCTTGTGCGTCTTACCACTCGTCTATTGGCTCACTGCTCCGCCTAGGAAAACCATCGCTAACATTCCTGGTGATGGTGGCGGCACAGGGCCTCTTTGAACGTCAAGGCGTTGTTTTAAAGCTCGAACTCAAATATGACCGTGCGGGACGCTCTGAGGGTATAGCCTTCGTCACCTATGAGCGTGAGGCTGACGCAAAACGTGCGATCGCCGAATTTGATGGTGCAAATGCCAATGGTTCAACCCCCTTCTCCCCACTCTACCGCAGCCTAATCAGTTAACCACCAGACAGGCCAACCGATCCACCTCACCTTGGTCCACCGCCACCATCAGACCGAGGGCAAATCCCTCTTCGACCGCATCCATGTCCCAGACTCCTCCGTCCCACACTCGACCGGCACAACCCCAGCTGCCCGCGACCATATCCGCCGCTACACTGACTCCCCAGAGAGAGACTCCCGCCGCGACCCTACCCGCCGCCCCACACCACCAAACATTGATCGCTACGTCCCCCCCGAGCGCCGTCGCGAGCGCCCTCGTAGCAGCGAGCCTACCGTTGGCGGCAGCAACACCCGCCGCAGAGGTGCTCATTCCGGCTCTGGCGGTGGTGGTGGGGGTGGTAGGGAGGACAGGTCTTACAACAACAACCGACGTTACGGTAATGGGCTCGCTCCCGGGTCCGGACGTCTCGGCGGAGGCGGTGTTGGGAATTCGGGGAATAGAGCTAGGAAAACGGTGGAGGAACTCGACGAGGAGATGAATAATTACTTTATGGATGCTGGGGCCCAGCAACAGCAGCATCAAGGGCAGCAACAGATCAGTGGCGCGCTGGCGCAGCAGGCTGATGAAGACGAAGAGATGGTTCTTTAGATCTTTGCGCTGTCTCCTGATTCCTACTTTTATTTTCACACTCATGAGGCTATGGCGGAAGTGTACGATCTATCAATCGATCATCCTGAAAATTAGCTACTTTTGCACAATATGGGAGAGGTGTAGAAATGGCCCATAGTGGGCTTGTCCTGCTCTTTTGCTTGTTGCTACGGTGGTTATCTATCTTGTCTCATGTCATTATCTCACGTTGGGGTTTTTTCTCTTCATATTTCTCTTTTCATTTCCTCTTGTCTTGTTTTGTCTAGATACACTTTTTACTCTCATATTTTCGTATCATGGTCACGGTGGTTTTTACAAAAAGTGGGTGGGGAGGATCAATAAATGAATGGTCGGAGGATATTGGATCACAATATGTCACTCTCTCATAAAGAGCCACTTGTTTTTTCTTTTCTTGTTGAAACTTGTGGATGGTGGATGCATGGATGCTAGAATAGCTACAGTACGCCAGCAATGCCCTGCGGTAGAGGCTTTTGTGTGATATTGTAACGCTTACTAAAGTAATATACTCGACCGCTGCGGGGAGTGATGTTTTATCAGTGTGTAGAACACGTACAGTACTAGCACAGTACTTGTACGGTACAATGCGTATCTCTGCTGCAGCAGCGTTCCATACATGGTGATAGTCAAGCAGACTCATATCCATGCCTACTCGTTCACTCAGTTATTCATTCAAGGCGAACCCACGCAAACAATATAATCGTTTGCACTTTTCGCCGGGGTGGGCACTATAGGGGAAGAAAAAAGAGAAAAGTGCCAAGCCCATCATTTAAGAGTATCGATTGCCCACCCAGACACACTAACTATCGGTATATAACTTTTCCGAGAGAAAAGACGCAACTAAGCTCTCAGTTAAAAATAAAAAAAACTGTACATATGACGAAGGAGCACTACCGGAGAAGACGAAAATCCCCAAGACCAATCAATCAAACGAAGCAATTAGAGAGAAAGAGAGGGGGGGGGGGGAGAATTGAAGAAAAGAAGCGCCAGAGTCAAGAGAAAGGGGGACAATACCCAATGAAAGTTTTATGTCTAGTGGCCTTTTTAGGAGGAGAGCTAACGGCGGGTGTAGCCACCGCCGTAGCGGTTTATCCCGTTATCTGGGAGCTTGTTTGTTTGGGGCTGGGGTCTACTAGCCACGGAGCTCCAAGTTGTCTGCTGCTGAGTGCCGGGGTTGGGACCTCCGTTTTGCTGTCTTCCTCTACCAATAGATTTAGCATGAGGAGCGGGTCCCGAAGGGGGGGAAGTTGGGTTTGTATTAAAGAAACCTTGTTCCCCCGGGTTTGGGCCTTGAGGGCGCTTTGGACTAGCTCTAGGGGGAGAGCTTTGCTGGGTGGGAGCGGATCTTCGGGTGGCCATCGGACTGCTCCCACCGAGCATTCTCCTCTCGGTTATTGGGCCCCTGATTTCCATTATCGAGCTGGCTGGCTGGGCTACTGGGCTTCCGTTGTCCCCTACCGGTGCGATAGCCGCTACTGGCTTGGGCAGTACGCTTCCGCCTCGGGATCCAAGGGATCTCTGAGCATTCACAGTAATAGGTTGACCTGAGAGATTGGAGGGGCGAGTATCAACAAACTTCTGATTCTTGTCTGAAGAAGAAACTTCTGGCTCCGCCCTGCCTCTCTGGACAATTGCTGGTCTCGGCCTTGTGTTAGACCCGTCGTTACGTATATCCTGATAATTCCACGCGCTATCATGTCCCGAGCTCGTATCAATAAGAGAAGAGGAGGTGGGTTGAATAGGGGTAAGGCGGCCTGGTGTGCTTTCGGAGCGGGCCAATGCTCTGGGGATTGAGGCATCTGATCTTTCGTCGGAAAGCACGCCATTCTCATTGCACTTTGAGCAGTGGCAAGGCTTGAAGCAATCCTCTTGGCATTGGTGGCCACATACAAGGCGCTTGAGACACGGGTCCAGACATCGGATATCTTTGTGATCGAACCTACCTAATGTTAGATTTGCTTGTTTCTGAATGGTATTTATTGAGTTCACTTACGGGTGGCATCTGAAGCGACAGGTGTGCGAGCACGGCAATAGTTCTTTGCACCATTGGTAACATCCCCCGACGATATCAACCCAGTCCTGGCTCTCTATATTCAAACTGAGTAAAGAATTAAAATGATTGAAGAAAGATTAGGGAAAGAATACCTTTGATAAATTCAAGCTTCCCATGTTTCTGGCAAACAATCGGCATTGCAAAGCCAATCCGGCTTGGGCATGTATTGAGAATCTTGCCAATCTCCCACCAGGTCTTGTCTGCCCTAGTGATCATTTGTGCATCCCCAAAGATATAGAACCCAAGCCTTGCGCGAGACAGAGCAACACAAATACGATTTTGGACCTACAAGACCTAGTCAGTATACCATCGATGCAATATAAGAGAAGAGAGCAAGGATACATACGTTCAAAAACCCCACACTCCCTTGAGAATTGCTCCGCACCAAACTCAGAATTATAACATCGTTTTCTTCTCCTTGATAACTATCTACGGTGGTGACTCTAGGCTCACAGGCATTTAGATTGGCGTTCTTTCGGACACGCTTAGTGATCTCATGCTTTTGCCCACCATAAAAGGTGAGAACGGTAATTTTCTGGGGGGGCGTTTTGTTTAGCACGAGATACTCGATGAAACCGACTATCATGGCGGCTTCCTCGGTATTGATACGTGACGTGCCACTATCCATTTGATCCGGATTCGTATGAGAGTACCAAAATACCTAGGATTGATTAGGTTTGGGTCGTAAGATAGGGAGGACTAGAAAAACCGACGTGAGTATCACCCATTCCAGGAATACCCGGCCGACCCAGAACACAATTGTGATCCTCAACCAAGTCTTGATCTACACTTCATATTAGCCCCCAAGTCTCCGGCGAGTGGGATCCTGAACTTACAAATCGGCATTAGTAGCTCACGGATCTCCGGTCTCATACCTAGGCCATTATTTGTTAGCCGGACCGCTAGTAGAAGTGCAAGCTCTGAGCCTACGTCTCTGTTTTTGAAGCATGTCGAAGGGCAGCTTATTGTTGACCAGCCGTTCAAACATTGATATCTCTAAGTTGAATGGGTCCCCTGCGAGTTCGGAGACCGCGCAATGCCCCCTCAGCTGCTTGTGATCCCCGACCAAAATCAAGTGTTCAATACTGGGCATACACCCAGCCGTCACAAGGCCTTCCAAGGTCTCCGCTGCCTCCTCTATTAGCAATACTCTGGGCCGCACAGCTGCCAGTAGACTTCTGTTTTTGCTTAGACCTGTTGTGGTTAATCCGACTAATTTAGCTGATCCTAGAATGTGGGCATATTTTTCTAGCCTAGCAATCTTTAGGTCCCTAACATGCTTCTGGTACGTAACATTGTACTCGCGAAATTTCTTCCGAACCTCCGCTATAACCTGTAGCTTGAGGCGTTGATACATTGCCGGCCTAATGTGGTCATTAATATCCCAGACGTTTTTCAATCTCATTGCCCGCCGAAGCTCATCCTCGCTAGGCATAAATGGAACTTGAACACGGTATTTATGGGCCAACGGTGTCCAACGCCCTTTGAGGGAATCATCGAATTCATCAGCCTGAAGAGTAGTCTGGAATTCGGCTTCCATTTCCTTCGATGTCTCGTAATCGACATCGGCTTCTTCGTACTCTTCAGACAGATTGGCTGCAACAATTATAGGTGTGAATGAATCCCCAAGCCAATCAGACATTACGCCAGTAGGCTGCTCGTCATCCTCATAGGTAATCCAACCAGCCCTATTGCTATTGAAACTGGTTTCCTGCTCTTTAGTTATAGCTCCGTATTGGCGTAAGGTTTCTGGTGTAAGGAGCTCCGGCTTAAGAATTTCAAGCAAATCAATCATTCTTTGGGTAAGTTGCTCCTTCTGTGCCCGGGCCGAGCCAAGCTTCGAGCCTATTATCTGCTTCTTCATACGCATCCCAAGCTCAAAAATGGTGCGCTCTTTGATCTTTTCACGATCCTGGGTACGCCCACCCAATCTTACCACATTTTCTTCGAATTCAAGAATCTTGCCCAGCAATTGGTCTGTATGTGTCGTTAGCGGGAAGGAAAAGAACCATCTAATCCCGAATGTCTTCGCAGGGTCTCACCGAGTGCATGATTAGTCTGGCATGCAATAACAATTGGGGGATCGTTCCGGTCCATGTTCTTGATCATAGCTTTTAGAGCCTCTACACTGACTGTAGTTTTTCCCGTCCCAGGTGGTCCTTGAATAATCGCAACCCTATTTGTTAGGATAGTCCTCAGAGCCCGCAGTTGCGTCTTATCCATAGTACTCTGAATTGTCGTAGGCCAGTTATGTAATATGTCAACTTCTTCAAGTGATTCCTTATCATGAACATCTGGAAAAAGCGATGACAAGTTAAGCGTTGGTGAGCTTTTTAGATAGTCCGGAGGAGGCACGTCCTGGTCCAAAGAGCATATGTGTTCATGAAGCAAAAAACTAAAATAAGCACCAATATCAGCACAGACTCACGAATTAGAATAAACAGGCATACAAAATTTTATAAAACTTACTTGTCTTTGTTCATCCTCTGCAACGCCTTCAGAGTCCATTTATACGCTTCGAAGTATCCCTGCCTCGATTCAACCATAATAAAGGTCTCTGTAGAATCAAACTCAGTTTCTCCTTCGGTGAATAAAAGATCTACCTCGGGCATCGGCAGTTCCAGTCCAGCCTTTGGCCGCGCTGCGACCGTTGCTAGCTTTAAAGTCTTGAAATTGTCATTGGAAAGGCAGACTAAGGTTCCAGGAAGGAGGCGTTTAGAAGTTTCCCAGCGAACTCTCTTACCCGCACGATTAAGAGAGAAAGACACTTTGCAGCAGACGCCCATTGGAGCAAATGTCAAGCCTAGTATGCGAACCTTCGAGGGAGAAGAAGAAAAGGTGTTAATGGCAAGATCAATGCTATGGGGGCTAATATCGCGTAGGGGAACGACTAACGTGATCATAGACAGCAAGGTCATTCGTATCTTCTGCCTCTGGGTAAAGTCTCATATGACACACAGCTTCCCTAAGACCGGCAAATGCATCCTCCTTCAAAAGCTCGTAATGCGCTTCCAAGTAATCGTCAACGGAACCGTATGGACCGTCAACCACATTAATTGGCAGTTCAACCCGTTCGCGGAGCAATTCTGTAACGGAGGGAACTTCTGGACAGCGCCGCCATCCAGCAGGAAATTTTTCGGTGCTCTCCATCTCAAACCTATGCATATAATGCGTTAGAATAATTCCAAACTGCAATAAAGGACGGATCTGATATTACATTGCTACAAGTGGGTTTCTCGGAACACCTTTAGTCTGGGTTGGCGCCCCACCTCCGGTGGTGGGGCCCCAGGAAACACTATCTTCATCGTCGTCGTCATCAGGAGCACCCTCAATCTTCAGCGCAGGGAGTCCGTGTTTATCTCTGCGTGGGGGTCCACCACCATTTCTTGGGAGGAATTTGCGCCGAGTGGCGGTTTTAGGACCGGGAGCGGCCTGCCAACCTTCCACGGAGCCATTATCAGAAACGGAAGCACGGTTACCACTATCAGTAGATTCTGCTTCATAGGCGGGCGTGACTTGAAAAGAGCCCCGGTTTGGTGTTAGTGAAGCCAGTCGCGAATCTCCGCCAGAAGGGGATGTTGGGGGACTCCTGGTAGCGTGCCCAGAGCCAGAGGAAGTATTAGATTGGCGTGGTCTGTTGCTATATCCATTACCAGCAGGACCATTTCCTCTGCGTTTAGGCATTGATGCAACTGTATAATCAGAAAGTGAAATCCAAGATATTCCTTTTTAGGAATGGAAACTATTGATGTTCTTCAGGATGAAAGCGTGGAAGTGAAGGTAGTGAAAAGGTGGGATGAGGAGAAGGAGGTTTGACGGAGAGCCCGGCAGTTGGTAGGTGAGTAAGTGTGATATGTTAGGCCAGTTAGATAGGCAGCTAACTTGGGTAGAGGAGGGAAGAGAGAGAGAGAGAGATAGAGAGAGAGATGGCTTAGGAGGGTTCGATTTAGGTTGATTTAGACCCTCCCCAGAATCTACCAGACAAGCCCCCGAGCGACCAGATCCAGGGAGCGATTTTTATGTATGATTTTTTTTTTCCCCTTCTCCCTTTCTTTCTGCTTTTGCACCCTTTCACAGATGCAAAAATGTGGTGCGGAGATGTAAGTGAGTCAATGAATAGCAAGACAGAGGGTCTGTACACTTTTCCTGGCGGGCCACTTGCTGGACGAAGGGGACGATGGTATCTGTTATCGAGTCAGTTGCATACAAACCACAACTCTTTCAAAGGCGGGTAAATTTTGAGGTCTTGGGAGGGGAGAGGGGGGGGGGGGGGGCGGATGATGATGATAAGTATAAATGTGCAATCTCTATTTAATAAGGTAGTCAGGTAACTCGGTAGAACCAGAAGTACGCTCTGAAATATTAGGAAGATACCATTGTGGGGTTGGCTTAAGGCCCACCTCCACCCCACCAACGGTACAGAAAATACAGTCGCATCCGTAAAATTCTCATACCTATCAACAACAGCGCAACAGAACATCAAGAGCTTTTTAGATAGCTGTTTTCAAATACGTTCTATAGGGGAACTGTAAATATTCACCGCACCCCGTTTCACTGAATAATAGAGAGGGCTAGCAATGTGTTCCCAAGAGCTAGTGCGGCAGTACGAGCACTTGGAAGGGTAAGCTATTGGGACAGTACGAGCACTGGTTGTGAACTGCGGGATAGGCCAAGCTAAACTAGAACCAGGCATGCGGCTCGGCTGCGTGAAGGATCTCGAGCCAGTTGTATTGCTTGGCCGTAAATTGAATCCTCCTCCTCCTCCTATCGTACAGATGATCCACCCACCCACATCAGACACTGGAATCCTGATGTTTAGTTCTTGGGACTCTTGGGAGTTAGAATCTGCACTATTGTACGGTACTCGTACAGTACGAGTATTTGTGCCGTACGGGTAGACTATGTGCCCGTTCTACCTACTTTACGCTAAGAAACGAGCAAACCTACCGTATCCTAGCAGTGACGGGAGAAGCCGTACCGGTAGGCTGCCTATTGCTTACCCGCCCTTGCGCTTGGCGCCCCCCAATTTCCTTTCCTTTCCTTCCCTCTTTTATCCTTTAGCAATCTCCGAGGCAGCCCGTCAAAAAACCCCGCGCTGTTGTAATGTACTGTACTTTGATCGGTTTTGGACAGAGTGTGAAATATTGCAGTCGGAGGGCTGGGAAGAGGGAGACCTTGTCTGGTTCAGATGACGAACCGGAAACGGGCCCAAATGTGGAAAACGGCAAGTAATAATACCCTTCTAAGGGTTAGACTTCCCCAAACTCTATGTCAACGGCCATGCGCACCATTGGCCCGACCCAATTGTTAAACACCGTAAAACATAAACAACCGACAAAACACACACACACACACCGGCACCCAATGACACACAATGCTAAAATCGCAGATGATAGCTTCAACTGCCTCTTCGGACAACGAGCAAGATGAGATCATGGAAGACCCCGAGCAGGAAAATGATGACGACTCGGACGACGCTGGAGATGATGATGAGGACGCCGATGGTGACGGTGACCAGGACGATCAAGCAGAGGGCGATGAGAATGAGGCTGAAAATGAAGACGGTGATGGTGAAGGCGACGGTGAAGGCGACGGTATTTGCTCACCCGGACTGGCTCCCACCTCGAGCTCCATCCCAAGCGATGCTAACTCCGCCATCAGATTCGCAGCAGCCTCCCCGCTCTCGGTCTACAACCCAGCCTCCGGTTCGTCCGCTTCCCACATTGGGATCAGGAGTGAAGAATGCAATCACATACGAGATCACACCCTATGTCGCGGCCCCTCAATCTACGAGTATAAACGCCTTTTGCGCTACGCCTTGTATGCGTTGGGTGTTTACGGGGGGCAGTGATGGTTATATAAGGCGCTTCGACTGGTTTGGAAGCATCAATGGCAAAGTGCCCTTGACAGTCGCACAGCGTCACCCATTCGTCGATAGTGTTACGAGAGCCGGTGTTCTCTTGTCTTACTGGGAGAACGAGGAACCGACAGGTAGGCTCCCATGCGTGCGCATCTTCACCATTACGCTAAAGTGATCCGTAGTTGCCGGCAAGCCCCAGGTCCTTCATGTGCCGGAGACAACTGACGACCTAAAATTAAGCCCGGTCTACAGTCTGGCTGTTCAGAATCAGAGCCTATGGTTGCTCAGTGGCCTTGAAGTTTACTCCCCCCCCCCACATAGACTGGAATTCCTACAGCTAACACCCGGCTTATTAGAGCGGTGGCATAAACCTCCAATCGGTTCGACACGACGAAGGAAAAATCATAACAACACTCCGGAAACACAACTCAGCTGTTAGTGTGCTCACACTCGCCAATGATGAGAAGTCGGTTCTTTCCGGAAGTTGGGATGGGATGGTCTACGATTGGGATCTAAATACAGGTCAAGCTCGGCGAGAATTTCCCTCTTCGTCGGGGCAGATATCAAGCGTAGCCTTCCGACCAATTTCTACCGAATGGCGAGAGATCAGAAACACCGCTTTAATCAACGGTGTATCCGGAGGCCGAGACAAAGGTTTATCCAATGGTGTCGGCACAAGTAATGGGGACGGGGACGAAGATGCGCCCGGGAGTCCCGTCGAGAGCACGAGAAGTTATGGCAGCCTCTTCGGCGATGACGACGATATGGGAATGGGAGAAGAGGATGAGATGAGTAGGGCTATTGCCAATGGGCTCGGGAGCGATCCAGCCTCTTTCGAGAATGGTAGAGAGGACCAAAGGATTAATAACAATGATATGATCATGGCCGACGATGTCACTAGAATACACACTAACGAGACATCTGGAACCAGGAACGGCTGCAACAACAGCGGTCCTGAGACTAATGGTTTCCTTCAAACTGCATCAGCCAACGGGCCGCCATCTTCAAATGACCAGAATGCGTTCCTAGCGTCGTCCATGGACGGGACTCTTCGTATATGGGATATCAGAGAACCCAATCCTGTAGCAGTCAGCACGCCCCCCAAAGGAGTTCCACCCTGGTGCATGAACTCTTGCTGGAGCACGGACGGGAACTTTATCTATGCAGGACGGCGAAACGGCACAGTTGAGGAATTCAGTGTCCATAATGGAATTGGTGAAGCAACAAGGACCATGAAGTTCCCATTGGGAAGCGGCCCAGTATCCGCATTGACCGCCTTGCCAAACGGAAGGCATTTGATTTGGTTCGTCCTTGGGTTTTCCTGGTTTTCATCGGGGGGTGGGGTTTGTAGAGAATTCCTGGACTAACGAAGGTCTGTCGCCTACCTACCTTCATAGCGCATCATTTGACAACCTACGATTATACGACCTCAGTGAGAATGCATCAAAGCACTCGACTGTACCCTTTTACATCATCCCAGGTCATCACGGAGGTGTTATTTCATCATTGTGTACGTATTACGCCCTACAGACAACTGCCCTCCTAACTGACAGCACTTAGACGTCGATGCTACCGGCCAATACCTAATATCAATTGCCGGGAACAGAGGTTGGGAAGGCATAACAACGGAAGTCCTCCTAGGTTATGAGATTGTAAGCGTATTATCGTGACAAGTTTTCCATTGCGGTATTACTCCACTTCGGTCTCACATTGCACAGCAATAATATAACAAACGGCCAAACAGTGTACCTATAATTCAATGTTCGTACTACAAATCGGGGCAACACATTGTAGATATATGTTGTATCTTACTTTCTTTCTTCCTCGGAAACCTGTCCTTTTACGCGCACAATACGACCCAGCCTCCATCCCAATAGTAACCAAATCATCTGACAGTTAACAAACCAATAAATGGAGAGAGCACCCAATTTAACCAATTACGACAACATTACGTCAGCTCCCTAACTTACCCCCACCCCTAAAATCCCAAAGCCCCCTCCTCCTCTTCCATGAAAAACAGCCCAAAGCAAACAACAGTCCCATAAATCAACAACCCACCCACCACCGCCATGGCCATGGCGGGAACCGTGATGATACCCGAATGCGCCAACACGCCCGGCAATGCTATGATACCAGAGATCACCGTTAGCCCCACCGCACATACCCCCCCCTTTTCCAGGAAAGGCAAAACGAACCAATCCCCATAACCACCAAAAAGCCCGTCAAGAACCTGCCCAGGTCTACCACGCTGCTACTCTCCGCCCCGTCGGAGAAGATGGAGGAGGAGGAGGAAGCGCGCCCACAGATGGCATTAGGAAGTGGCGTTAGGACATAGTTTGCTACTACCAGCAGCGGGAAGTAGTTGCCGAAGAGGGCGCTCGAGAGGATTACCAGGAGGAAGCCGATCGCAAGGATCTGGAATGCTTAGCCGGCGCCGGGAATTGGTAGGGGGATTTTGGGGAGGGAGGAAGGGGGTGGGTATGGTACGAATGAGAGGGCGATTATGGGTTTTAGACCGGTCATGATCTTTGTTGGGTGAGTGAGGAGGGTTCTTGTCGGGCGATGAGGTGAGGGTTGGTGGTGGGGAATTTTTTATCGTGGGAACCGGTAGAACACGGGGGATGCGGTTGGATAGGATAGGTTTATGGGTAGGTTGAAATGGGATGAGTGGATGCAGCAACCAAGGGTTCACAGGTACTGCTTACAGTGGTTGGCTGGTTGGTCAGCAGATCACGTGATTATATAATCTGATTTCTTGTTTTGTTTTTCCTTTTTTTTTCGTGAGCCATTATCGCGGCAGTCTGTGCAGTGATTAAACCGCTAAGATTGGGTTTTTGGTCTATGATACTAGTAATGTAATCTCAATTGATGATGGGATTGTGGGGAGCACGAACATTTGTAGGTCGTGTCTGGCTTGATATCATATCATCGTACAAAGCGTTGTGCATATACTAGTATATATGGTGCCAATTACTTAAAACGTACACCTTACTCGATGCAACATATAACGCTCAACCCTGTATGAAGCTAGTACTATACCCTAAAACTAGCAACTTCTGAATAGGTTTAACTTCTATTTATAATTTCTTCACATAATTAATAAGCTAATTTTACAAGTTCTTGATACACTCTCACTGCTCAATACTTATATGTTCTGAAAACATGAATTCTTCTGATTGAAAATTGCAATACAAAATCTTCAAATTTAACCTCTATGAGGAGCTGTAATATATTATACATGTAAAAATTGTAAGTATGATTTGAATTTACTATCACAATTAGCACCACAAACTCTTACATCTATTCCTCCTAGTCTTATCTGAAAATATCATATAGGAACTGTATAGATTATAGATGCCGACTACAATCATGTAATATATACTGTTACATATAAAAGAGTAATCAGTTTGATATGTGTTTAAATGCATAAGGTTATATGTTCAACTCCAGTCTCTATGATTATTATTATAATAATAAGATATTGTTATACAAAATACCAGTAATAAGACATCTATGCAACCTCCTCTATAAAGATATAGGAGTTACAACTGAGGAGTTTTTACCAAGTAACATAAAAGAAGCTTTACTTTATAAGAGTAAACTTAGTTGATCTGAATTTTTGTTTTTTTTGTTCATATTGTTTATTTATTAACTAGGTATTACAAACTGTGACAAAGCAAGACATATTTCACATGGCTCCGAATTCTAAGCTATAGGGATGTTGGAATTTTACTTGATACACACTAATACATTATAGATTATTATGTTTACCTGTTTGTAACTCACAGTTGTGGGCCACACAATGTTATGATTTTTGCACATGACTCAAATTATGAGTCATGGGTTTCACTCAGGTGATGTAAGTTGTGCACATGACTTGGTTATTAAGTTTTAATTAATTTAAGGAATGTTGAGCAGTGACTCATGGGAGTCAGCTGAGGAATTTCACATGACTCACAGTTGTGAGTTATAAGGTTCACGTGACACGAGATATGAGTTATGCTAGGTGAAGAGTAACTATATAAAAGGTTATTAGGACCTCAAGTATGAGCTCTTCATATATTCTTCTAAGTTATTTCCTATACTTGTTATTTTATAATAAAACCTCTTTACATTCTCTACTCTTGTTTAAGAAACCCAAGAACTATTTCTCCTCCTACAATATATGATTAAGTTCCAAGTAAGGACTTAAGAAGATTAAGGAAGAAGGTGCGATAAAATAGAAGTCAAAGGACTTGACTATTGATATTGTATAGGCAATGGTCTAAGAGCTAATTCCCTAATCACAAGATAAGAATCATTACCTGTCACACCCCTCCACCTAGTAGGATTCTTAACATTAGAACTTGTCTTAACAGAGACACTTAATGAATAAGATAAGGTGTCTTTCATATCTAATAGAGAAGAGAACTTGAACCTACAAGATAATAGTTTAGGACTTGAAGAGTTCTATAAAGTATTAAGCGAAGTAAGCTGTCACAAACTATGACTATACAAGGCAGGTTTTATATAGCTCAGGATTTAGAGCTATAGGTATGTTGGAATTTTACATAATACATACTAGTATGTCATAGGTTATTATATTTACCTGTTCATGACTCACAGTTGTGGGTTACATAATATTATTATTTTTGCATATGACTCAAACTATGAGTTATGGGTTTCACTCAGGTGACGCAAGTTGTGCCCTAGACTTGGTTATTAAGTTTTGATTGGTTTAAGGTATGTTGCGCAGCAACTCATAGGAGTCAGCTGAAGGATTTCATATGACTTACAATTGTGAGTCATGAGGTTTATATGATATGAGATATATGTCACGCTTGGTGAAGAGCGACTATATAAAGGGTCACTAGGACCCCAAGTATGAGCTTTTTATATGTTCTTCTAAGTTATTTCCCACACTTGTTATTTTATAATCAAAAAAACCCTTATACTCTCTACTCTACTTTAAGAAATCTGAGAACTATTTCTCTTCCATGACTCATGATTAAGTTCTAAGCAAGGACTTAAGAAGATTAAGGAAAAAGGTACAATAAGATAGAAGTCAAAGGACTTGACTATTGACATCGTGCAGGCAATGGTCTAAGAGCTATTTCCCTAATCATAAGATAAGAATCATTACCTGTCACACCCTCACACCTGGTAGGATTCTTAATATGTGGTATATACCAGCAAGTAGTCTTTATTTATTTATTTTAAGATTGAATTTTATAAGTTCAGAATGGAATATTTCCTATCTCAGATATTGAGTCAATCACAGTAGCAGCCACTCTGGATTCTCCTGTGATGGAGGAATTCTGTAACACTGAACTCATACTTGTGCTCAAGCATCTGAGTGTTACCAAGATGCCACCACACTAGAACCCACCCGGAGCCTAACGGCTGATTCAAAATGCTAGTCCTAATACAGTAGTAATATAACACATCTACCACACCTAATTAGGAATTCCGAATTGCTAATTATTCAATAAAAGACTCTTTTTTTTTCTTTCATACGTTACAAGCCTTAGTGTCCTCCTTCCCCTACAAATATTGAAGGCCCTTACAGCACCAACTAGAAAACCAAAGAGAAAAATCGCTCTGTAAACCTGTTCTAATAACCAGCCAGACAAACTATACAGAAGGAATTTTGGGAATTCCATTTGTAGGTGGTGTTGTCGTAAGTTGGAATATCCGTCAATGTTCCCGGTAGGTGCCACGAGGGAATATTCCAGCACTTAGACTGTACCCCTCCCTACTGTACTAGTATAAGTGCTCGTGCTGTACTCTACAGTACATGTACGAGTACTCGTAGGCTGCAGGTAGCCCGCTGCACTTGGCCAAGTCCGGGTAGCAATCACTAAGGTTCCTACCGGGGCAGCACTCACTCCCCCTCCGAGCCTCAGACCCGCAACGGTATCATAACTGTACTCAAGTGGGAGTAACTTACTATACCGGTACTCCCACCATCATTAAATTTGTAGTCTTATCAATACTCGCACGCCGCATCAGAATTCCAATAACGATCTGGAAGGATTGCCGAGGCCATGGACACTGCGATAGCCTATGATATTATTCACCGACCGGCCTACCGGCACCGGTATATGCCTTCCCCGTGAACCCTCGCAAGGGAGCAACACAAATAGTCTACCACCTCAAACCAGTCCTAACCGCCACTCCTCCATCAAAGCTTAAACGGAGGCTATAAGGTCACTTTCCGACTTTGCCAACCATGCACCGTACCGGGAGCCGTGATCGCCATGATCGGTGATACCGCACTATCGGTAGTACAGTACTTGCACACCAACCACCAGGTATCATACACGGTGAAATCAACTGCCCTGGCCTGAGCTTTGACGGTCCATGAACCCAAAATCCCGGACCTAGGACAAGCTTACCGGTGCCTCTAGACCATACGAATTACCTGCGGTAGCTTCACGACGGTTGCCGTGCACGTGTGAGATCTTACCATCCTTACCCAAGGATAATTCCATATGCTTGTACGACGCCAGAAGTGGAAAAGAATTGAAATATCCTCGACCAATAAATTGCCATGCACCATGATCCTCCATCCATTCTGCCCCGCGGTGCCGGAGTTGCCGGATTGGTGATACTGATAGCAGGGGAGGATGCAATGAACAACGAACAAAGCGCAGCAAACAATACCGGTAGACTACACCAAGTCAAATTTGTTCACTGTCCCCTCTGGTGCGCCAAGGAAACTAAGTCACCAACCTTCCACACCTTCCCTACACTCCTTCCATGCATACCACAAGGCGGAGCTTGTTCAACTCCAGGTCTACAGTACCGGCATGCCTAGAAACCCTCCCGCAGCCGAAGTGCGTCAGTGGCGGGTGAGACGATAGGGATTTTGAAGCCTAATTAGTACAATAAGGAATACGGTACTCCTACTGCACCCCTCAGGCCGGTATATGTGGTGACAAACACTCTCGCCGCATCCCACGACACGGGGGGCGACTTGTGCCACCGTTTGAAATTATCGTTGAAGGGTAAGAGTTTATGCCGACACTAGTAGCAGGTATCATACGTTAGGTAGACAGGCATCATAGGTATCATAGAAGCACAGCAAAGCCGGTGAGTAACTTAACCCGTTTACCCTCCTCATTACTGATTCAACAAGATACGGCAGGCAGCACTGCTCGAACCCCGATAGGCACTTCCGGAGCTTCTTTCCTTAGGCCCTTCCATTGCTGCTTGTCATCTTGGCGTTAGTGCTGTACAAGCTCAGCTCGCTGAGCTGATTCCCCAGCCAAGTTCTTGACTGCAGCAGCAAGCTCCGGATGCAGTCCAGTCACATCCATACGTCCAGTCAGGGCCGCCCTTACGTCCGAAAGGCATCCGAAAGGACTGGATACAGCAGGTCTGGGTGGGCAGTAGAGCGATAAGGCCAGTGCGATTCCACAAAGTGGTAAGGTTAGCGTAACGTAATGGTTGTAGATTTGGGGGATGAGGGTGTATTGTACCGCAATTGTAGATGCCATGATATTTCTCACTTTTTCCTTTGAGGGGAGTTTTGTTGATGGCCTACTGGCTTACCGATAAGCTAAAGCACAGTGCTTGCCCTTCTTCTTCTTCTTCTTCTTCTTCTTCTTCTTCTTCAAGTGAGAAAATTGCAACCAAGGCACAGTATAGAGAAGGCATTGGACGGCCCGTGTTAAGCCTCTCCAAACCGGTGTGCCCGAGCCCATTCCATCACTCGCAGTGACGAGCCAACCATTGAAGCGCCATACTTGCTGTGTTCCCCCAAGGATGAAATGTTTATGCAAATTCAACAATAGCAATTAAATCCCTATCATTCCCATCGCCGCAGAGAGTCATCTTAACCATCACACGGTGACTAAAGCGGAATTCACGCACCACACCGTTGCCCTACGCACCCCATCTCCGCAGGCCCGCTGCCGTTACCGCCTGCCCACTCTCGGAAGGGGGTAAGAGGAAGAAGAAGATGTGGTAACCCTCTGAAAGGACGGAGTTTTGTATATATATATACCCTCAGGAAGTTTTCCCTTTTGCTCAACCGGCCTGGTCTTTGTCGTCACCACACCACTACCCCCCTCACCCACCCCACCAACCAACCAATCAACCGCATAGCGAACAAGACCTTCTCCAGCCAGCAAGCTTGTTCACCCGCTAGTCCATTCGACAGCACCACCGCCTAACCGCATTATAAATATTGACAATTCCGTGACAGGTTCGACACAGCAAACATGCCTGCGCAGGAGTCCATCCCCCCAGCAGCAAACGTCCTAGGAACTATCGGAACGGTGCTCTGGTGCATCCAGTTGATTCCACAGATATGGTTTAATTATAGGAATAAGTCCACGGAGGGATTGCCGGGGATAATGATGTTGGTTTGGGCTTTTGGTCCGCCTGCCCTTGCTCTTTCAACCCATTCGTCCAATTGCTGACTGGAAGTCATTATAGCTGGACCTCCCTTCGGAGCTTACGCAGTTATTCAGGTATGATATAAAATTAGTTACCCGTAGACAATCGTTCCCCCAATTAACCAACAACCTACTTCCCCATTCTTCCATACCAGCTACACCCCCCCCCCCCCCCCCCACCACACACAAATCACTTCCCAGCTAACACAGTCTTGCCAAGAACCTCAACATCCCCATCCAAATCCAACCGCAAGTCTTTGCCTCTCTCTCCCTCATCTCCTGGGCGCAATGCCTGCACTACGCCTCCGGCTGGGCCGTCTGGTCCTCAAGCCTGATAGCCCTCGCGGTAGCCATTGCCTGCGCGGGCACCGAAGCCGCGCTAATCCTCACCCTGCAGCCAATCTACAACCGCGGCACCGAGTGGCCGTTGTTAGCCGTTGGAATTATCGCATCGATATTGCTAGCTGCCGGCTTGATTCCACCCTATTTCGAGATTTGGAAGAGAAAAGGGAGGGTTGTTGGGATTGGTTAGTTCCCTTTGAATGTATGGGTGAATGAGAATGAGAGGAGGGGAAGCGCTAATAGGGATCTGGGTTGGATAGATTTTGTCTTCCTGTCAATCGACTGGCTTGGAGCACTTTTCTCCATCATGAGCCTCGTGGCGCAGCATACCTTCGATTACCTCGGCGGGGTGCTATACCTCGTCGTCATCCTTCTCGAGTCCGGGATATTCATTTCCCATTGGATATGGCTATTCCGTACCCGGAAGCAGCGCAAGGCAGAGAAGGGGGCCGCCCCAGCAGAAGCGGCAACACCGTCCGCATCCGCCGACGAGAAGCTCCACGGCAGCGATATCGCAAGCACCACTGATAGTAATAATAAAGATGTGGAATTGAAACAGGATGTCTAGTCCAGTATGCTGGGCAGATTGGATAGCTTTTCTTTTCTTTTCCTTCTCCCCTTGATCCCCCGCTGTGTACATCCGATATATGGTCTCCCTGTGTATATATTGTCGTCATACCGTAGAGGGAGGGAGTGTGGTGCTTACTTTTTGTACCCCTGATCTACTCTACTACCATTAGCATAAATCCAATGCATGAGTACTAGTACAGTACGGTAAACCTGCACTACAGTACTCGAGTACACTATCACAATGATCCGGTGAAAACACCGTAGTTTGTGTTGTTTAAGCATAACAGCGGGTCTCGAGTCGACGCAACCAGGCACACTTTCCCGGACACTAACGACCTGCAACGCGCCGCACCACACGCACCCGTCCCTGGAACAAGGCGGATCGGCCGAAAGCCTGTGCTCGAGTATTCGCCCATTCCCCGCACCCTTCCTTCCTCACCAATGATACCAAAAAGGTAAACTTACCCCTCTTCCTTCCCATTTCAAACGCATGTATTATTATTTTTCTGTCCAGCCCGTTCTACTATAGACTACCATATATACACATACACTCCCCTCCCTCCCTCCCTGCCACCAATGTTTCCCGTGTCCATCCAACCATACCAGTTCAATAAAAGACCATCTACAACTTCTAATACAAATGAAAGATAATGGGGAAAAAAAGAAAAAAAAGCTACGGTACTAATGGACAATGTAAGTAAAAGCCAGATATAATATATATATATAAAGGAAACAAATTAAAGCAAAAAGACTCCCAAACAAGACACCAATCCATCCGCATCCGCTGCATCCCATGGTAAAAAAATTGTCAAAAAAAAAGAGAGCAAGGACGCAATAAAAAGAAAACCCCGGTGTATAAGAGTATAATGAAGGCCCCAAGCGAGCGAAAAAGGAATAAGGATTAATACAAAAGAAAAGCTGCAAATGGAATTTTTTTTATATATATTGGAATCGAAAGCGGGGTAAAAATAAAAATAAAAAAAAGGGAGAGCGGGAGAGAATTGGTAGTCTCCTCTGTCATGATGGTGATGGTGATGGTGATGGTGATGGCGATGGCGATGCTTCAGGCTATTTCTCTCTGTAGAGGGCGAGAAAACCTTGTGCTCCGCCTAGTTGTTCGTTATGGCGATGCATGGTGAAATGAAGAAAGATTGTTCTTCATAGATCCCTGTACCTTCTTTTCCCATGCTGCATCCAATTCCACAAGCTACCTTCCTCCATCACGTGAAAAAGCAAAACAAAAGAAACCCGGAAAAAAAGGAAAGTGGAAAAAAAAAGGTGTTTGTTTATAAAAGAGCAGGCCCCGAAATAACGCAAAACATAAAAAAGGAAAATTTAAAAATAAGCCAGTGGGAAAGAAACCAAAGTGGGAATACAAAAAAAACTAGGGAAGAAAGGTGATAAGAATGATATGAACAATGCAGTTGCCATGAATCAATCCCGTTTCCGTATTAATAAGATATAACAGACCAAGAAACCCACATTGATTCTGAAATATCACGGGGAAAGGGGGCAAGAAAGAAATGCCGGGGAAGAAAAGGAAATAGAAATCACGCATTCTCAAAACCCGCCACCATTAATCCCAAGTGCAAACAAAAGGAAAAAAGCACAAAACAGGGGCCAACCGCATATAGAGTTAAGAAAAAACAATCAATTACACTCCTGCGCCAGGGTCATCACTTTTTGTCATGTATCAACAATTTCATCGTACAAACTCCACTCCACCCTAAACGCCTGGCGGCTAGGTGGAGTGTGGAAGAGGAGGCAGCCAACTATCCACCCTTCCGGTCCGCTTCGTTAACAGGAGGAGAATCATTTGGTTTGGGTGAGTTCCTCTTTTTGACCTTCCGCATCTTGAACGCTTTCGCATCAGACTTAGTCCCAGAGTTTTGCTTGGGGTTATTGATGTTCCCGTTGCCTCTAGACCCACCAGAATTCTTGGAAGACTTATCCACTAGGGTGGGAGGCACCTGTGCAGAATGATTTCTCCCACTTCTCCTCCCACTATACCCATTATGTCCAGGCTTTGATGGTAAAGTACTACTAGATTCCTTCCTCGCTGGGGCCGGCACTGGGGCTAGTATTGAGAGTGGCGCGGGTGTAGGTGATGGAGACCGAGCCCCGGGTACAGGTGTCAGAGGTGGTGCAAGGTCTTCCTGCGAAGCAACAGACATCTTGGACTTAGCATTATCGACAGATGGAGCCCTAGAATTGCTCCACAGAAGCTGCTCCCTGGCTGCGCGCTGGCGCAAGTTAGGCGACAGCCTAGGGGAAACGGAAGAGTCCACATCATCGTCAGACGTCACCTGGGACGGTTGCGTGTTTTGAGGAGAGGAAAGGAGACTCGAGGTGGAGACACTCGCCGAAGACGGGCCGCCGTCATATGTTTGTCTCTGGCCAGAACCGGTAAACCCTGCCTCAGGGTGTCCAACGGCTGCTTGAATATGCACTTCGAGGAGCTTCTGGGCGAGGGAAGACGTATTGTTCCTAGTGGCCTTCGAATCCAAAGATTCATCGCCAGGTCTCTCAGACCCACCTGGATCTACACCTGACATAGATCCATCGTACTGATACAACTCTTCAGAAGGGAGCGGAAGGCCTGAATACGGAGTACCAGGACACGGAACCGAAGACGTCGAGATAGACCCGTTTACGATGACCGGTCCACGATCCTCAAATGAGCCCGGGCCACCAAGCGAAATTGACTGACGATCAACGATAGACTTTTGCTCCATAAAGGGCTCCTCTTCTTCGCCAACCGGGTCAACGACCGCCGGAGCGCTCTGCAGTGACCCGCCATATGCATAGTAACCAACATACTCGTCCGGCTCCTCCTCAGGGGGAGTTACTGGGGTCCCGTTGGAAGAGTGATCGGCAAAATCATCATCCTCCGAACCAGTAACACCCCTTGCAGACGACCCCCCACGCCCATAACTCGGTATCGAATATACTTCAGATAACGGGGGAGGTTGAGACTGGGATCTTGATCCCACATTATACCCGTTATGCCGCCGCTGGCCAACCCGCTGCCTTGACTCATTCATTCCAGTCACCGCCTGTGGAGCCATCTGTGTCGGGAGTTCGCTATGTAAAGGTGGGGAAGGATAGTAGTAATTCATCCCCCAGAGCTGTGCAAAATATGCATAGGACGACAAAGGATTCATAGCTGCAAGGTCTTGGGCTGTCAGCGTGGATCCATGAGCATTAGCAGAGCCACTAGAAGCCTGGGTCTGGGTCTGCTGTCCATGCAGCTGAGCATGAGCTTGTGCGAGCTGAGCCTGGGCAACACGGGCATGATGGAATTGAGCTTGCAAAGCCAGCAGCTGCTCCTGCGGGGTCTGGACATATCCAAACACCTCAGGCGACAGATAGTGATGCTGGTGAGGAGCATTGTTAGAATGATTGTTGTAATTACTGTTGTTGCCGGGCTTCCGGTTGCCATTCCGGTTGCCATTCATATAATGCTGTGGCCGATTGCCTCTGTTGTTATATCCTCCCCGTGACTTGTGGTTAGAATAGCTACGAGAGAGGGTAACAGGGCGATGCACCGGCTGCTGGATCGGTATTGATACATGGGGCTCCCCGGGAGGAAACTCGTACTGCTCGCAAACAGCAGCCAAATCCGCATCCTCTGATAGCATCCTATGCGCCCTCCTGAATTCCAAATGAAGTCCGCGAACTGACGAGTCATCAGCCGTGTTGCCCAGGTTTCGAGTAAAGTTGAATGGCTCCTCAACACAAAGTCGGTTATTCTGAAGATACTGCCAATTCTTTTCTTCCTTAGACAGAAGCTTTCCATGGCGGACCGATATGACCTTCTTCTCATAATCTAGCTCGTGCCCGTACTTTTTGAAAAAGGCAAAAAGCAGCTCCCCCAAGGTTTCCTTGTTATTGTGCCCAAACCCCTTCAGCGTCTCGATATCGTCATCGAAAGATATATCAACTCCGTTTATAGGGGGCCGTTTTTTATGGGGCCTCTGGTGTAAAGCGGGCAGGATAGGTGGATCTCTAGTCTGCAGGAAGTTTAAAATCATACAAATCCAGGTGTAGGAGCTCAGGGTTCCACCACCGGCTGTGCGTTGTGTCAGAATTTATTCGAGCAAGGTAATACCAAGTTCCAACTCACCAGCATCGTTTAATACCCGCTTTTTTGTCCAATGTTTGATGATCATGGCAAGCGGTCGAACCCGCTCATCAATCTCGACATAGGTTTTAATCATCTTGGTATTATCCAAGGCCAGAGTGCTGTTGACGTTCATGTCACAAGCAACCTGATACTCAGGGTCCCAGATCTTTACGATCGGAACCTTGGCCCCGGGCACGCAAACCACCCGTTCCATACCACCTATGATATTCATTAGATCACCATCTTTTCACCAAAATAATCCAATCCGAGGAACAAACATTTAGCAAGCCTCGCTGCCAAGTAACATGTTGACTTGAGCCCATCCCAACTAGTCTTTATACACACATCAACTGCACAAGGTTAGCCCGGCACCGACAGACTGTGGACAGAAACATACTATCTGAATCGATCATGCAAAGGTGATTTTCGGTTGATCCAAAAGCATGCACTTGTATATCGTGGCCTGGCCACTCCCTATTCAATAGCCTCTCAAGCTTTTCCAAAAATCTCCGCCTCCGATCACCGCTAGCCTCGCATGGCTTCAATTTCTCGAATAAACTCTTCATATCCTCGGTAAACTTCCCCTCCTGTTCAACCGACAACCTTTCGGCCTTCGGCTTCTCATTCCCAAGCTTGTCGATCCCCAAAGAGTATGGCATTCGCCTCCGGATGTTAGCCAGCCCTGTCTCATATTTGCACGTTCTAGGCGACACCGTGGGCGCCTTCTGGATAGATGGAATGAGCGGCTCTGACGCCGCCGACCTTGGCGAATCAAGAGCAGACGTTGGGGAAGGGCTCCGAGAGGCTCCATTGGGCTGACGAGGATGATGATTTGGTGTGGAAGGCAACGAATTGGATTGGGTTGATGAATTTGTTCCCCGATTTTTGAAAGGAGGCCGTGTGTGAGGTAGTGTCATCGACGGCCCAGACTCGTCCCTCCTTCCAGCCATTGTTGGCGAAGTATGCTTGGCTCCAGACTGTTGCCCGTAATTCCTCCGCCCATTCCCTAACCAAGAACCACCGGCCCCTTGCAACCTATCCTGGCCACCGCGCTCCGGTGATGCTGAAACCTGACGGCGAATTGCTCGAGGTGACGGCGAACTGCCTCTGGTGTTCGGGCGCTGCTCGGTTGAGAAACTGCGAGGATGAGGCGAAAGCTCTGTGTTAGGCGATACGAGAGGCAGGAATTGTGGGGAAGGCTGAGGGGGGGGGGGATAAACGACGACTGGCTTGAAATTAGAAGAAGTTGGAGATCCAACCGTGTACCGCCTTCGAGAGCCGCTCAACTGGTTGCTCGGGCAAGAAGTTGCTTGTTGCGGATTGGGAGACGGGGGAACACCCGTTTCAACGCTCAACGTCATAAATCTCTAGTGACAAATGAACCAAGTATTATCCTTTAGCAGCAAATACTAATTCCGAGATCAAGTAACCGCACAATAGTTCAAACAGTGCTGCTCCGTCTGACCTGAGAAGATGATTGGTGACTAAAATGTACCGATGGTAACCGTGGTGAGAGTAGGACACGAAAGCTCACACTCAGCTCTAGGAGTGATAGAGGGGGAATGGGTCAAGACCCAATATTCGGCCAGCGAAGTGTAGAAACGAGAGGGGGCAAATATTAGAGGGAACTCTAAAAGCTATGCCAGGAAACGGACGGAAAGCGGGTGTGTGTGTGTGTGTGGAGTAGACGAACCACTAGGGGAGGCTGGTGCCGAGCGGCAGGGAAAGGGATAGAATTGGCGTAGCTTCGAGTAGCCTCTCTGGGTTTCGAAGAATAACCAGAGGTATCGGGTAAGAGGCTATCGGATGCTTGAGATTTCGAATGGTAATAACAGTTGAGACAGCAAGTTATTAAAATAAGAATTGAGGAGGGGGTGAGAAGGTTGAGAACAAGAGGGGAGGAGGGGTGCGAGGTTGTGAAGGACGAGAGCTGAGGGGAGTGCGTATGAAGCAAGTGAGAGGAAGCCTCCCTCCCTCCAGCAGTCGGCGGCTGACAGGGGCGACGCGGAGATGCTATGTAAATACGCTACGGCTAGGAGGGCAGGGCACACCGGAGCGAGCAGGGCGGGAAAAAAAAAGGAAAGGAAAGGAGAGAAAGAAAGAACGGGTGAGCGAGTGTGTGGAGGTTAGGAGAAGGAGAGGATGAAGAGCAAAGGAAGTGGACAACAAAAACCAGAACCAAATGCGCAGGCGAGCGAGCGAGCGAAGGTTCAGGATGGTCGGAGCATGCGAGTGGGAGAGGTGAGAGAAGGAAGGAGGGAAAGGGAAGTGAAAGTTGGCTGAGAGAGCATGCGTGCCTGAGTGGGGGAGAGAGTGTGTGTGGAGGTTCCGAGGCCTCTGGGCGAAGCCTGTCGAAAGCAAGCGCTGCCGCTGCAATTCTAAGTACGGTACGGTAGTCCACCGTATGATGCACACAGAAATTATATATCACAGTGAGAAATCACCACCACTACCACCAAACAAAAAGCAAGCCCTGCCACCAGCTATTCCTACTGAAGCAAAAAAAAAAAAAAAAAAAAAAAAAGAGGAAATCAGTAGATATTATGATATTATCATCGTTGGCGATACCTGTGCACTCATACCTACATGCACCTTGGACAGAATGTCATAAAATACAAAAATATATATACACCTGTACAGCTACTTACATTTATACACATAACAATCATGAGAATAGCTCAGACGTACACAGTAGCTAATTGCACACCTGCCCCCACCGTAATCGCTGCCTCCTCCTCATCCACTCTGCCCAAGTCAACCAATCCAGGCAGATCCAACAAAAGGGTCCGAATTTTAGCTCCTCCACAAGTACAGTACCGGTACTCGTACATTATCCCTCCATTTTATACTCGCCCCTTCGCCTTCTTTGTCTGGGAACAAACGGTTCTCGAACGCCGACTATATGTCCCTTTCATCCCATGGTATCCGTTCTCCTAGCCCGCCCGAAATATATCTCGTCTCACCCATATCACCCGTACCATGCTCCTTGCGATTCCCTCCCCTTTTTCTCGTTTTGTCAGCATTCCCCATTACCCCCATTGCCCCATTGCCCCAGTCCGCTCTCTGGAGTTTCGGTAACCAAATTCTGTGCAAACGATGCGGTGCCCCGATGTTACGGTGCGAGTACCTCAGCTTGGCCGCCGATTTTGGGTATTCCGTATGCACAGTATACCGGTATTACAACTTATGCGTTGATACGAGCACAATGCCGAGCTCTAGTCAATCAGGGGAAACAGATTCTCCATCACAGGTGTCGTGGTTCACCATTTCTCCACAACACATAGTACGTCGCTCCAGGCAACCCGGCCCAATCACCACAATCGATAAAGCCCCTACATATTACCACCAGGAGAAGAAAAATGGGAGGAAAGGACCGATCGTTGTGCTCTGGACGAAGGGAAAAAGAGCCCGAGTGAAAAGAAGGTGGGGGAGAGAGAAGAAAAATGTAAGGTGCCAAACGGGAAAAAGCAAGGAAGAAAGGGAAAAGAAGAAAAAAAATGAAATAAGAAATCACCATCCTCTTTCCCATTCATGGACCATGACCTCTGGCAGGCCGTGGATTGGATTGAGGAAATATGATGCACTCTACGAATACAGATCTCGAGCCCCATCATACTCATACTCATACTATGACAGCAGGATCCTGAGGGTACTTGTAAGTTGACCGACCCTGGCCTGCAGACAGGCGCATTCCGAGAAATAAATGACTCCCAAGCGCAGGGCTGGCAATAGAAATTAAGCGGTGTGGGTGAGTGCGTGTGTTTGATGTGTGGTCCTTCACAGTCGTGATGCGGAGAGGGAGGAACGGAACGCCAGAGCGGAGAAGCGTGTGAAAGGAGGTACCGTAGGGGGGGCTACCGAAACAAGTCCTTCGTGCACTATACTCGTACCGTACCTACATCAGGCTGCATGGATTGGAGCACGATATGTGCACACACCCCCACCACCGCCGCGGCCAGACATATTCATGGGGAACGAGAAGGATCGGTACAGTATTGTACTCGAGTACTGTACTCGAGTACCCGACCGGGGGAAGGAACACCCTCCAGATGCTCGAGGACAAGTTCACTTGCAAAACCAACCCTCCAACCATCCCACTGCGGGAAAAAAAAACACACACACAAAAAAAAAAACCAAGGTGACTTTGGATATACTGTACTAGTACGGCTGACAATGTGCGTATAAGTGCTACCATTTACTGTAGTGCCCCAGCGAGAATTGGGTGCGCAACCGGGAACAACAATCGTAATTATTATTATTATTATTAGAGACTCAGCTGCTGCATCCGTCGTAGCGCGGTTGGAGCCACTCTTCAAAAGGTAACATTATCGAATTCTCCATCCAAACACATGAACAAGAGAAGCACCGAACCTTCCATTTGCTCGGTATTCTTTGGTAGCATTTCACGTTCAGAATTGTCAAATTACCATCGATGCAAGCATAAGGTTGGCGCACTGTACCGCCCTCTACCCTTATTTTGAGAGCAGGGTGCCGGTGCACTACTCGTATGATATAGTACTAGTATACCGGTGTACCGATCGGATGCTGTGCTGTGGGCCTCGTTTAAGCTCCCAATTCCCGCGCTTGTACCAAGCACGGTATGATACCGGTACCGGTATTGCATTCGATAGGTAACGGCAGGGCTGCAATAATGTTTCGCAGTCCGTGGTGTTTCAAAGGGTCGGATGAAGGTAACCGGTGCCCTCTATTTAGGGCAGTCGCCGGCATTGAGGCACGGAGTTGTATGACAAAACATGAATCCATGGCTAACGGTGGGATTCATATATTATGAATTGGTAAGATCATGTAGATGATGATGAAAACCACAAGAATGAAAAGAGGGAAAGAAGAGAAAAAAAAAACCCCCTGAGGGAGATATCGCCAGCTCTTAAGACTTTTCTAAGTCTCGACGAATTCGGTGGGTGGGTAGCGGTGCGGTAAGTTGGCGACAGTTTTTTCCTCCCACCCACAACCGAGTGATTGTTGCGGTAACGACACTGTTCCCGGTCGTGGAGTACTTGTACAAGTACCGTATGATATATCGGCGCCCACCAGGGTCCGCACTGCCCACCCCACAGATCTAAGATGGCTGCTACAGTACCGGTTTATGGTATACCTGGTATACCGGTAACTCAACTGTGGCGCCAGGATCTAGGACCTAGCCTCTCGAGAGACAAAGAAGGGCGCAACGGCTGAAAGCAAAAACAAAGGCACAGGGTGAATTGTGGGGATCTCCGAACTTGGGCGAGCCAGCACAAAGGAAAGGGGGGATGACAGCAATCTCGTGATTAGATTAGAGCTCCGTGCCCTAATACGGCATGCGAGTACGGTACCTAGCCAAACCTGCCAGGGAGGGAGTATCGAGTCGTACAATACGGTACTTGTCCCAGGCAGGAAGTATGGTACCCGAAAACAGGGATCGAAGAAATACAAGTACTCGAGTACACGAGCACCGGTACTTGTATAGTAGAAATAAAATAAGATTCGTGTACCTAAGCGCCGATATAGAATACTCGAGTGCTGGTACTCGAGCACAGTACAAGTATACCCCCCCTGTTTCCGGGTACCTCCTGCCTGGGACGAGTATTGCACCCAAGAGTGATAACCCGGGATGGATAAGAGGGGGAATGGGAGAGTGATGGATGATGGAGTCGGCAGGGTGACTGGGAGGGGGGGAGGAGGAGAGGCTGGCCGACCATGGGATTTTGCAGACGATCCCGCAGACCGCAGGGCAACGGCTAAACGACTTTCCTCCTCTGCTGTGGAAAAAAGGTGCAACAAATCCGACCTGTCAACAACGTGTCCGAACCAATGGGGATTGTCCAAACCACAAGTCCCAATAAATCTCAAAATTTAACCCACGGCCGGCGGGCGTCCGTGGGAAAAGAAGTGAATTGAGCCCTACCCAGCGCCCACCACCGTTCACCGTCCTCTGGACGAGAAGCTCCTTTCTATGGTGGTATTACCGTACTTGTACTCGAGTACTAGTACGAGTACAGTATATGGCGCAGCTGACGGCATCCTCTCGAGCCCCTCAATTGAATTAAGCCAACTTGACCGTCTTGGACCCGGTCCACCGCGGTGAATCTCGTGTGCCGAAGAGAAAAGTGCCAGCTCAATTTCTTATTCCCGGCATCCCTTCACTCCTAGCCACGCATTTTATCAGCAAGCGATACTTGTGCCATACTCGAGTACCCTCGTCTCCCGCCCCCCCCCATGCCTTCCCACCACCGCCCATAATAGAATCTCGCTCCCCAAGTCACTCAATCACCCACTTCCCCCTTCATCCTCCTTCCCACCTCCCTTCCCGCTTCCTTCCCTTCCCCAAATCTCACTCACTTCCCTCCATATAATAGAGACTGTCCCAGTAAACTCCTATTTCTGCGTCGGCACTCCTCTCGGACTGTCGGTCGGTCGGTCGGTTGCACAGTAGATACGCTACGGTGTCGTTCCGGTACGAGTCAGCATACTCGAGTATCATACCACTGCTGCACAACCAGCCAGCCAGCCACCCACCGTATCGGTTGCCCCCTCCCCACTTCGGCCCCTAGGCTTCCCGAACTCAGCCCAGAATATCCGTGGTTAACCTTATATTATTGGCCACACCCGCTTTCTCCATTGTTCTCTTGCTGGCCCCAGTCTGCTTAGTTGTTCCGGAGTTAACGATACGATCCACTGAAACACTGCTCTTGCTGAGAAATGCGGATTCGGATCGTCCGGAATACGTCAATCTGAACCAGGCTAAAAAAATAAATCCGCATACATCACACTGCCCTCCCTCCCCACCCCCATCGCCGACCAAATGGGCATGTCAAAGACCACTGTCTCCTTCTTCCTCCCAATCTTCTTTTCTACACTCGTCATCTGTGCAATTGTCCTTTGTACCTGCGCGTACTGCTACAAACCAAGCTATCTCTTACGCCTTCAAGGAGGAGGGAGAGGCCACGATCTTGAGAAGGCACCACGGGGACCGATACTCGGGATTAGCAGAGTAAGTTTCGATGCTCCCATCCTTATTTTTACCTTTATTACTCGGCATCCTCATGCCTGCCTCAGGATCCTGGGCCTTATATACCTTTCCCTCCTCCCCCCAATATCCCCCGAACCCTGCGAGTGGCATGTCACTAACGGGAACGAACGCGCAGGAAGTAGTGGAAGGTCATCCGTCGGAACGTCGGGGAACAGCTTTTGCGGGAGTCGCTGACGGCGAAGCTATCGACGTCTTTGAAGCAGTTCCCGAAGGTGAAGAAATTGATATTATCGACGCGGACCGACCCTCGGTTTCGTCCTCCGTAGATTAAACCCAATAATAGCAGGTTAATATCTATCGTCGAAGGATCTCTTTCTTTCTTTCTTTCTTTCTTTTGTTTGATTCGCAAGTTTGGCCTGGCCTTTTTCTCCAGCCAGTGGGCAGCACATTGTTTCCCCCTTGTCGTCCTTTTTCGGGTCCTTATCCCCCTCCCTGATAGATACGAAATGGAGTTGAGTCAGCTTCGGTAGCTATCCTCTTCTGAAATGTATCCTCGGCCACTAACAATAGCAGGGGCTTTACGATCGCTATCACCGTTCTAGCACTGATTTCAAATGTCCTCTCTGCTTCTTTATTCCAACAATTCTCCAATAGGCTTCACCGAAGTTCGGACAGCCTTGCTTTTTACAGTTATTTTGCGACTTTCGTGAGTGCTCTGGGCGTCCTGGGATCTACCAAGGTATGATGCATTCTTTATCCCAGCCATTCCATTCCGATCCCTCCATTTGTTAACTTTTTTTTCGTAGCAACATGCCTACGCTATGTCGATATTTGCCAACTTCTTTATCATAGATACCGTTGTCTCCGCACTATCACGGTCTATCATACTATACGTATTCTCAACCTTCCGAAGCTATATCTGCGACGACAACTCGGCAACAGACGGGGGGTTATTGTCGATGACGCTACCTCATGGCACCTTCCACAAGACATCTTCAGACCAACCAAATGGGGTTAGTCCCTCATTATGGGACGGCAACTGGAGTTGCATGGAGCTGATGCGAATTTCGGTCATGATTGGCTGGGTTTCCCTAGTAGCTGCTACCACCATCCAGGTCTTCTTTGCAATTCTCGTACGCCAGTATGCAAGTTCATTATTCCCGAAAGGACGTGATGATCCTGAAAGAGGGACTGTTTGTTCCGGGGAATCTCTGAGGGAAATGGACGGTTTGCTAGTCTACCGGAATTGTGCCTCCCAGAAGGTCTATTAGTTAAAGATGGTAAGAATTGCCAAGTGGTTACCGGAAGTTGTTATCCAAGATGTGTATAAAGTGTTCCTTGGACGAAGCTACCATGCCATGACCGGCACGCTGTGGTGGGATAAAAAGCAAGGAGAACAGATGAGCTGCTGGAGGGGGGGAGGTCTTTTGGATTTACGACATGGGATATCATTTTGTGGCTTTGGGGCCTTCCTTATCTCTTCTTTTCTGGGGCACATCCACGGGTTATGGTGACACGGAGTTATCTTTCATGTGCTATGTACTGAATGCTTGCGCGTAGGCGTGCTTGTATGAGTATGATACAAGTATCTATATACTAACGTTTTGCGTAAATATAATGACATATCATTGCAATTCTCATCTAATTCGACAGCCCTCGAAAACTTTGCCTCTGTATCAACTGGTTGGATTCCCGTGAGATCTCTCATGGGTACTCGAGTACTTGTACGTGGAACAACAGCACTCGCAAAGATCTAGATCCGGTCTGGATCAGTGCAAGTACCGTACATACAAGAAAAGATGGATCCCTTAGGGCAAGCAAGATGATGGCATATTTCCAATCCTTAAGCGGGGACATGGGCGCACGTCACGGAAGCCGTGTATCGTATCCTAATAACCAACCGTCCCACGACAATCATTTTTCTCCTCCCATCTTACCAAATACCAAACAGGCGATTGCGGCCCCATCCACCCATCCATCCACCCAATAATAGTAACAACAACACTGTACCCCCTCCCCCCCACCTTTTCTCCTCCCCTCCTACCGTACTTGTACAGCCCAACCGTTACCAAAGCCTCCACAATAACGACAATCCCCCCCCCCGGTAACACGCACCCCATCGTAGCACAAAAACGGCACGCCGCCACTTCAAGTACCCGTACCCGTACTGTCGAAGCGTTCTTAAAAATACCTGCTATTGCCTACCCATATCCAAGCAAGAGTACCAAAATTCTTGCAGTGTGCAATCTCAAAAAGAGGAGGGAAAGAAGAAAAAAAACTAATCAGCACGAGTGATATCTAATGACGGCGCATCAGCTTTTTTTTCTTTTTTCCTTCCAAGACTTGGGAGAAAGGGTATCGTAAAGTGACGGTACTGTACTCGAGTAGATCCGTTCTTGACCAATCAGCCCTCCCACTATCCTTGTATTATTATTATTATCGTTATCATTACTGTATTATCATTATCATTACAGTATTTTTTTAAAAAAGCGGGTGTGCTGGTAGCGCGACCGGCCGAGAAGGGGGAAGGGGGGGAAGGGGGGCAAAGGAGGGGGAGGGGAAATGATGGGATAAGTTAATTGTTTGTCTGATTGTTTGTTTTAGTGGGGGTTGTATCGATCCCGGCGCTACGGTAGGGTGTCGGATGGAGACTTGGAGTTGCCTTTGCCGGTATGGTCTATTATAGCACTTTTACTTTTTTTTTTTTTTTTGTCTTTTTTCGCCGGTGTTTTCGGTTTCCTCCCCCCTATCATAGCGTATCTATATTTGAACCTTGGACTTCTCAAGCGCGAGGTTCGATTTGCGGATTTTATACTCGCAGCAGCCGGTCCACCGACTGTCACTCGGAAAGTGCCAAAGTGGAGTCGGTGGTTCGATGTGGGGGTTGTCAAAGGGGTGTGTGTGTATTATTCATTGTATCGTACGGTACCGTATCCAGGGAACCGAAGGCGCAATATTTTGATTCCGGAAACCATTGATAAGGCGGAAAAAAAAGGATGGTGTTAAAAAAAAAAATACTATCATAAATCGTAGCAAAATCCCGGCGGTGGTATTTGGAAGAGGAATTGGATTCTTTATGACATTCCTCTTTTCCGTTTTTCGACTCAAGTTTTGGACAGGGGTGCGTGTGCGGTGGGGCGGACCTGGGGCATCTTGGAGGTTTCAGTAGGATTTAAGGATCGGGAGGGGGGGGAGGAGAAGGGGGTATCATGGATGCTGGGGCTTACCCGCGGCGGCGGCGGCGGACGATGGTGTGTATGGTGTGTCGTGTGTGGCCGGGGTGTAACTATGGGATATGGTTTTTCTTATCGATGAGCAGGGAAATGCCTGCACTGCACCGGCGCTGCATGAAGTGCGGGAAAGGAGGAAGGTCGATGTACGAATTGATATGCAAAGTGCATACGGACAGCCAGGAGCGCAGGCAGACAGGTGGGCACTGTACTCGAGTACGGTACCGGTACCGTACTCGCACGATGAGCACGAGTACCGTAGAGTTAGTGTGCGAGGTATCGTATGTGGAGCAGGGATACTTTTTCAGTAAAGGTAGGGTTCGGTGTGGATTATGGGGTGCTCTACGAGTACGGTACGGTATTATTACTGGGTGCTTTGCTTTCCCGTCGGTCAGTATTAATAGTGGCGAGTGTTGGTAGTATTGCTTGCGGGAGAGGGGTGCTCATCAATCCAGGAAGTCAAACAGGCAGGAAGGAGAGAGGGAAGGGAGGAGATGGGGCTGCTCACGTGACAGCACATTTCGATAGTACAACACATGCTGATACGAATAATCGCGCCGCTGGACTGACAATGCAATTTTCCAATAGGGGTAAGGTGGGGAAATGGTGTGATAGGAGTAATTATATAAGCAATAAAACAAGGTTGTTGAAGTACCAGATCTAGGAATACCAGTATGGATATTATGTGGGATCAATAAGAGTTCATTACGTTGCGATTCACTAGGTTTCTGTTTAAATGACTTAAAGATTATTACAGGAAAGCAGACAACACATTCTATCCAACTCATAACCTTTCAGCATGCTATTAAGAGTCGAGGTTGGTTGCAAACTTTTTGTTTTAATAACTCAAAACCGGGTTAAAGGCGTCTGGCCAGTTTTCAGATAACCTATCATACCGGTATTAGTCTAACATCCATACCTAGATTAGACTACCGTAGGTATATACTTCAAACGTCTTATCTATCTGCTTACATAACTACTCCTATTACCCCCTTGCCGTCACCTTACCCAATCAGGAAGCGCATTATCAATCCGGCTGCACGAGTATGATACTAGTACGAGTACAGTATTCTCCCCTCTTTCTCCGGGGAATTATCGAGGGACTGGGGGTAGCAAACTGGTTGGTCCTTCCTGGTTTGGACGGGTGTGGATTTATTGTTAATTTCCTCTTCTGGAAAGTGGCCGATCTTGAGGGGATCACATCACATCACATTTTTCTTTTCTTTTCTTTTTTTCTTCGCTCATTTTTTTGGCCTGCCTGGTCTGGTCCTGTTTACTCCTCTTACCTCCTGCCGGTATTGAACGGTGCTCTCCCAACTCCCCCTTTCCCCTGTGGACCTGAGGGTTTGGCCTGGTTTGGGAATGACGGAAATTGGGAGGGTGATAATTTGTGAATGGCACCGCCGATGGATTGTAGTAAATTTACCGGTATGTACGAGGGGAAGTACCGTATGCACTGCAGGCGGTAAAGACAGGTACGGTATCATCTTGTTTTGCTTCCGGCCTGTTGGAATGGGGTGTGCGGTATTCTGTGGTTTACTCGTAGAGAGGGCGTCTGGTGAAGAGAAAAAGGAAGGAAAATTGATACCGTACTACTACGAGTACCGTACTCGTACAGTACGGTAGTACGAGTATATTCCTTCCCTCCCCCACAAACAGCAATCACGTAAATCCACAGATCGACTGATCCCGAAGCCTTCCTCTTCCCTTCGATGAATAGAGTGGAAAACACGAGAGAAAGGAAAGGAAGAAGCAAAAAAAAAAAGCGAGATGTGATGGGATATAATAGATAGCTTGTCCTCAAAGTTTGTTGTTTCTCGTTCCCCCTCCCCCGATCCAACCACGAATCGCGAAGCTCGGTTTTCCTCCTTTTGCTGCCTTCTGTGCCCCTTCCCTTCCCCAGCGCCCCCACCCGCGAGAAAATAAACGCTATTTTTTCCTTTTCCTCCCACTCTTTCTGGGGTTTGATAGCGTCACACACGAGATCGGCGAGTTCAAACTTTCCTCTTTGTTTCTCCCCGGGTGGTGTTCCACCTCGACTTTTTTCTTCTTTCCTCTGCTGCATGTTGTGTTTTCCTTCCTGTGCGGCTGGGAAGAAGATAGTCTACACCGTGACCACGTTCGCATCAATTGGGTGGGGTTCAACACAGCCGTTTGCACATCGGATTGTTCGCGAAAGAGTTGAAGCGTCAATGGGGGAGGAAGGGAGGCTAACCTGGTGAAGAAAAATATCATTTCACCCCCAATACCGGTGTGTGGGCTCCGGCCCCGCACCGCCCAGCGCTTCGAAAGTGAATTCTCGGGAGACCCCCCCGTTGGTGAAGGTGTCAGTGAGGGCACAGGTGCGGGCTGCCGGTTTGATTTGGGGTTGGGGTTCGGTCGGTTGCTCTTCACCTTGGCCAGGATGCCGGGTATGTCAATTAATTGCGTGAGAGCACTCTTTTTTTCTTTCTTTCTTTCTTTCTTTCCTCTTTGAGTGAGGAACCTGCACGGTACGCCGGGTACGGTACCACACGGGTAGTGATATCGTATCCTTATGGTGTTGTACTCGAATATTGTACCCTAACGAGGAATTTAGTCTGGGTAGGGTGTTGTTTCCCTTCCCGCTCCTCCGCTTTCTGAAAAGCTGCCAAGCGTTAAATATTTAGCACGGGCGTGAATAAACGGATCTGCTCTCCCATACCCGAGTACTAGTATTGGCATCAGATCATACGGAGCCATGCCTGATGGTTCGGTAGGATTTTATTCTGTTAGGATGGCGGTACGACGTGATCTCTAGTTGTTTCCTTCGCTGGGCCTTTTGATTGCTGTCATCTCAATGCAAAGTGATTGATTATTTGGAGGAGCGTATCGGGTTAGGCTCTATCCTCCTGAACGTGAAACAGGTCCAATTCGACTTTTTATTTTATTTTTTTGTGTGGAGTTGCTCGGGCACAGCACATGTGTGCCCAAATATGATATTACTTCACCACATGCAGCTGCACCACCAAACCCGTGCTCGAATGCCCCTTCCACGGGCACACAAAATGCAAAGGGGTGCGCTGAACTGTTACTCGTAGATGGGCCTGGAGCCAAATCTCGACACCAGCTCTCCAACTTATCCTGTACGAGTACAGTACCGGTATCTCTAATTAAGATACAGTGCCGGCAGTCGAGTCCCCCAGGACAACCAAACCAGACGGATGATTTTATACGTTCGCTACCATGTTGTTATCCGTACCTAACAAGCCATCCTACAGAGATTCTTTTTCTTGACCAATCGATTTTTCAATTTTTGCCGGTTACATTACGGTACCGGCACTATTGCTATCAATCGTCTCAGAAGGTTCTGTAGAATGTTCCATTGGCTTGGGTCACGAAGGAATTTCCCCCAGGTCCTTGCGAACCGGAGATGTGGATGGATTTCGAACGAGCCCCTCAGGGTCTAAGATCACCCTAAGTTGGGGTTCCGTACCGGTATCTGTCGTTGGAGGCACATTGTTGGCACTTGCACAGTGCAATGTCTCTCCGCTATAGCTATATTCATTACAGTCTTGGGATCCTGGAGGAGAGGAAACCATGGAAGGGGAGTATACGGCACTGGTGATTGATTATTTTGGCGCGTTGGATATTGTTATCGTTCCTTGCTAAGGTAAAGGGTAGAAAACTCAGTTCGAAGCAGAGAAAGTGTACCCATGGCTGCATGAGAGATTGTTTTTTTAAAAGAAAAAAGAAAAAAAGAAAAAGAGCAACAGCCATAATAGAACGAACCTCAGAACCTGCCCGAACCAGCCCGCTTGCTGGCATGGGTCGGCCACAGCACCATTGAGCCCAAATTTAGCCAATCAAGAGATTAGCGTTCGACTTCGGGGACTGCAACGGGCACCAAGGTGCTGGCGAGCGTGGAGCAATGCCTCCTCCGTCCCCCCACATCCCACAACTAAGCCCGAGAACCTTTACAATTTTATTGTCGTGGTCCCTATTTCTCTTTTCTGTCCTTCTCTCCTAACAAGGTATCGTTTCTGGGCTAGGGAGTTTGACTGCATCCGTTGCTGTGTCGGCTTCTTCCCATTAGGCTTTTTATTTTTTATTTTTTATTTTTTATTTTTTATTTTTTATTTTTTTTCTGTGAGGAGTCAGGTTCGCTTTTGTAGCAGAAGGTTCCTGTCACCTTCATTAAATTTTCATTTCATTTTTTTCTACTTTTACCCAAAATTTCCACTTTATTACAAGTGCCAGGGGAGATGTTTTCGTATAAGACAGAGATTATTTTGCGGGTTAACCGAAATTAACTGTGTGAAAACATTATCCCTGGCACTGGTACTTGTATATCATGGCAACATTCGTTCATCAGCTTTGGGCGGATTATTACCGTTTTAGGATATATTAGTAGAAATTTTAAGATTTTTTTCGCCCTATCTGGCTAACCTGGAGGATTTTTCGACTTTTCTTTTTCCCATTTTTTTTTCTTCCCGTCGCTCTTCCTGATACCGTATTTGTTCCCTTTTCTCCCTTCACTCCCTTCCACTTTCCTCGACCGTCTTTTTGTCCACTTGCTGGTGCAGTACACGGGCCTTTCCCTTGCCCTTTTCCCGCACCCCGTCGTCACCAGTTGAACCCCCCAAGAACCAACCCCCAGGCCCGGACTCTTTTGCCTTCAACACCCAACCCCCCCCGTCCCCTCGCTCTGCCTCTCTGCCAACGGCACAAGAACTCTCTTTCCTCCATCTGTCTTTCTTCCCGGCTTCCTCCTCCTCCTCCTCCTCCTCTCTCTTCTCTTTTATCTTCTCCCGATCCCTCTCTCGTTCACTGGGCAGCTGGACATTCTTCCGCAACGTCTGCTATTGTGTGTTCCTCATCGACACTTATACGGCCAACCTGTGGTATGTCTATCTTTTTTTTTTTTTTTTTTCATCATCTTGCAGTGTCGTCGGTCTACTCCACGTTGCTCCTTTTCAGGTCCACACCTATACCCCCCCCCCCCCCTCCCCATAAAAAAACGTTTATCTATATGGTTATCTTTATCCCCTCCTGGTTTTATTCAATGCTCGAATGCTAGCACTTTCCGGAAACCAAGAATACGGACCGATCACTGACATACCTTGCCACTATACCATCACAGCAGGATTGAACGTTCTTTTAAGGGAAAATAAGTCCATCCCTCCTTCCTTCCGCACTTTGATTATCGTAGGCCTCGTTTAAAACACGCTGTTCTTCGACTTTTGACTCTTGCACTATCATCGTCCGAAGAACGCAATCATGTCTTATTATGAGTCCCAAACCTCCTGGCAAAACCAGTCCAACCGTCCCAACTGGGACCAGAGGGCTGCTGGCTCGACTCCTGTTCAAGCGCATTTCCCACGATCCCACGCTTCTGATCCCTCGGATTTGACTGTTCGATACACTGCGTCCATGAAACCGGAGGATCCATCTGCTTTTGGTTCTCAGCTCGATGGTGATTATCCGCCCCGTGTTACCTAACCCTGACCCATTGGATACGATGCTAATTTTAAGTTCGGCTTTAAGAGGTTGACCGAGCGGTCGATAATCTTGTAAAGAGCGGCAAAATGTTTGCACCGCAACGCCGCGACTCTCTTCCGGTCATGGGCCCTCGTGGATTCCCGGTTGAGCATGGTGAGATAACCTGGTGAACCTTTTTTGGTTTCGTCCCGGGTTTCCTTCCCCGGTGAATTTTACGCTAACACATTTCCCTGCTTGGTTTGGTTAGATGCACGCATGGTTGCTCCCATGCCTTCCCGTCATTACTCCGTTCAGGAGTTTGACGTGATACGTTCACAGTCTGCTGCGAACCTGCAGAATTATTACGCCACCCAGCGTTTCCAACCCCGCCCGACGGAAGCCGAACAGATGGTGCAGGCGAAGCGGAGATTGGCGGCTCAGCGGGAGCGTGATTTGCGCAACTATCATCAGGAGCAACAGTATAATAGGAGTATGTCTTCGAAATCTCCTAATCTTGCGCGAGACCCAACTTATAAAGGTCCTCTAGCACTTCTGGCCGAAGTTTCTGGTTACGGCAAGGATCGTGTTATGAGCCCTGGCGCTATGAGCGAGGATGAGAGGCGTGAGTTAATCGCCCGCCAGCACCGTGCCCTTTATACAAGCGGTCATTCTGAAGGGTCTCATTCAGAAGACGGTGTTCCTTTGGAAGAGGGTAACCCACCCAGAGGAACTAACCCCAACTCGAACGGACCTTCTGCGCCGGGTTCCAACGCCGGCGGTACACGCGGGCCTTCCCCTATGTCGTCTGCATTTGACCCTTTCGGTCATCAGAATGGGAAGATTGATTCCAATGCGCCCCAGACCTCCGGAGATCAAAGCCAGACCGGAAATGCTATTTCGCCACCTATACGATCCCGGACTAACAGTGCTTCTTCGCCTTCATCGAAGTCGGCGTCATTTAGTTTATTTGATAATGCTCAGGCACAGTCTAGTCGTACTTCGGCGTCTTCACCAGGCGGCTCGCCCCCTCGTTCCCAAAGAATATCTACCACTCCTGTGACCTCTTCGGGTGTTGCGCCTATTGGGACACGTCCAGGTACTCAGAATCAAAGTGGTGTCGCTAACAACGGCAAGCGGGCCAGCCCGCCCCTGAATTCGCCGCGTTATAACTTACAGCAGGAGAATGATCCTTTTAACAACAGTGTTAATAAGGAGAGATCCTCACCCGCACCATCCAACAACTCTGCGCCAAATGGTCAGGGTGATGGACTTGGCTGGAGCAAAGTTTGGGGCCCCGGAACCAAGGGTCTCAGCGTTTGGGGGTAAGTATCTAATGTTTACATAGCTGGGCTTTCTTATGTTAAAGGGTGTTTATTCTTGATGCTTCGGGGCGCTGTGTCTTGGGAGGGCCTGTTTAAACTGATTTTTTGAATTTTTTAAGTCTTGTAATTTGTTTGCTTTTTTCTGGGTCGGGGTATGGATACCTAAACGTGGGCAGAGGGGTTTTCTATCAACGGCGAAGTCATTTAAAATGGTTGTTTTCCTTTTTCTTTTTCCCCCCCCCCTTTACATTTCTTCGGGCGAAGATTGAGATTGTCATATGGGGAAGAGGTTTTCGAGCTTTGCGGGTTTAAACTTTGGGGTTTGGGTTTCGTTCGAAAAGATGGGGCATACTTTACTGGCTTTGGGGGCGGCGGGGTTGACGTACGTACAAAAAAATGTTGGCATACGGCTGTGGGGTTGGGTTTTGTTTTTTGCCTTTGTTTCCTTTGATTCTCTTTCGTTAAAAGCGGCTTTCCAACCTTGGGGTTTACGGGACGCTCGGAGGTATCGCATCCGGGAATCGGGAAACCTCAGCATCTGCGGGATAATGGCGAAGCACAAAAAAAAAAAGCGTCGGTACTCAAAAAGAACGGGTTAGGTGCAATTGGTGATTTGTTCTGAATGGGTTGGGTTTTTCATTTTAATTGTTTTCTTTCTGTATTAGGTGTCATTGGGTTGGTGTGGAACTGGTTTTTCATTAATTGAGGTTTTTTTTTTTCCCCGCCCTTACTTGGTGCTGTTTATGTCCTGAATTTTTTGAATAGTTTTTTTTCTCCCCGTGCTCCTTCTGCAGGATCCTCATGTCTGTGCGGTATTTGATGAGCTTCCTGCGTGCTCTCGCGCTCCCTACCACCCATGGGATTTTTATATTTTTCACGGGTTCTGGAGTGTTTCTTTACACTGTCAATGATTGTCTTTATTTTAGCAGTGCGATTTTTCGCACCACCGCCATACCTTCTAATATTTCACCACATCTGTACTTGTTTCCTCGTTTCGACCCACTCCTTCCGGTCTGCGCGGCAACGATCAAAAATGGGCGCACTTGGTGTTTTGTCTTTTTGCCGCTATGAAGTCTGGTTGAGCAAGGAAAAAAGCCGAAAAACGGAACAAGGTGTCGACAGAGATGGAAAGGATGGAGGGAATGGGCGAAGGAACGGATGGGAGGGAAAAGTGAAGGAAGGCAAACATAAATCATGTAGTCCAGTCCACCATGTACTGTAGTTAGAAGGCTCCAGGAGAAGGGGAATCCGTGGTCATTTGATTTGGTTTGGATGACAAGGTATTCTTGGAATATGATTAACTTGTTGAGTTCTTTTATATTGTATTCACAAAACAAAAAGTTTGGACGAGGTTTTAGATTAGGAGGTAAGAGATATTTAATCACCGTACCTCACCCTTCTCTTCCCTTCTTCGCTGTGATACTCGTACACTTTAGACTATCCTCCACTCACTCATCAACAACCAACCCCACCCCACTCACTAACCCTGCATGAATACCCGAACGCGGGGGGAGGCAGCCACGACTGGAAAGTGCAACAATACCCACTCCTTTCTCCCCTACCGTACCTCCCTCCCCTTCCTCATCCGGTCCTTCCACCCACAACACCCACTTAACAACCATACACAACCCCTACCAACGGCAAAATTGACGTCTGCCAAGACTTCCCGGGCGGGGTAATCTCTAGATGGCAAGAGGGAAAAAAAAAAAAAAAGTTCAGGGGAGGGTCCTATTTTTTTTGTTGATGACTAATGAATGGAAAGTTGTCCTGGTGTGCTGGTTGCTGGGCCGACGGGGAGGCGGTAACTTAGTCTAGTCACACATAACATTACCGTACCGGTATGGCACGATACCATACAGTACTCGTACAGTGCCGGTTCTAATACCACGGGAAAGGGAAGGGGGGGGATCGGAACCACGGTATCTTACAAGTGAGTATCGTGTATCATACTTGGAAGTTTTGGTTTTGGTCTAAATTCTCGGCCATTATTTTTTTTAATGTATTATCATACGGTGCGGCATCGTACTGGTAGGTGGTGATAACGGTGCTTGGGTGGCAGGAGGTAACCTGACTTATCATCACAGAGAATTTCGAGTTCCGTTGCTCTTGGGTGGCACCGGTATGCGGTATCATAGGTTGCTGCGAGCTTTATATTAGGGTAGGTTACTAACCTAGTGTCATACTTGTATTGGTGCCGATGTGCACCCCACTCAGTCGGTCGATCAGGTCAGCTGTGCCCACTCTTTCTTCTCTTTATTTTCCTCCTTCCTCACCCTTTCAAGCTCCAGCCCCCCAACTCACACCAGGTAAACGATCCGCAGAGCTCCTCTCTCTCTCTCTCTCCCTTTCCACATTTCTTCACTGAGAAATTCTATCCGCCCACCTGACCGCGCACCTAGTAATTAGGATTGGATTGATGATGAGGGTCTTGAAGGGTTTGGTTTGGTTATTTCTGGATACTACAAGAGCAGCTATGACTTATAGCTTGAAAATTTCCTAATTTATTTTGGACAATCGCGATTGGGGAAGAAAGATATTATTTAACATGAAGGATCATAGATGACAAAAGAACCGAAAACCACCCAACCAAGTCAACTGAGATGAAATGGAGAACACCAGTCCAGAGGAAAGACATAAGAGAAAGCGAAAGAGGGGCATATATATAAGGAGGGAAAAAAAAAGCCATTTCGGACAATGAGAAAGCAAAAAAGGGAGTCCCATATTTACTGCACCCCTCCCCGCCTCTCCGACCAACTTGACACGAAGGGGGTGAGGAAAAAGGGGGCAAGGAGATAAAAATCCACAATGAAAGTTTTCCAGGAGAGAAAATGTAAAGAGATATAGCTATAAGAAGGTGCAATGTTCCCCCTTCCGTTAACTTTTGTACCGCAGGTTTCCATTAACCTGGAAATGCATGATCCAGATACAGAGGGCTCCAATAAACGCGAACGCCAACCAGAAAGGGAGACAAAGAGGAAAACGCCATGGAGTAATGGAGCTAAGGGAATGGGTAAAAACAAATAAAAGACTCCATCCCATTTTTCGTGTCGCAAAAAATAAATATTGTGAATGAAAGGGAGTGTAACGTGAATGGGCAAAACAGGAACCGATTAATTTTCAGATAATAAAAACCCCGTGACACCGAGCAATGGACCGACCCAGCAAAAGAAAAAGAAAAAAAAAGAGAAAGGAAATCCAGACTGAGAGAACGACACAAAGGGTTCTAGATTATACTTTCTCTCCGTACTGCTGCTGCCACCGATTGATTTTACTTGATAAAAGCTCCATCATCTCAAGAGCTCCCGGTTGGATGTTTGAACTTAGGGCCTCAGCTGCCTTTTCTAATATCTTCCCGGTTCCGTTGCCATTGATTTGGATTTGTGGAAGGGCCTTGTCGCCAGAAGAAGACGACGTCGGTGTTTCTGGGTTTTGCGGCGTAGTAGCATTGCTGATGGGTGTTCCCTTCTCTTCCATCCAAGCTAGGTATGCATATATGTCACTTGCTCTCGAGTTTGCCATCTCAATCTGGGTTCGAGTGATGAAGTCTGAGATGCCGCGAACTCGCCTTCCCATCTCGTTTATGCTCATTCTTGCTTGTGGGATTCTCGGCTTGGTGGGTTTATCAATGATGGTGCCGTGGTCCATGGATTTTGAACCCTGATTGCCCCCAACAGAGGAATGATCTCGAGTCATGACATGAGGAGAAGCTCCACAATTATCACCTGGATCTTCTGACTGGCGATGGCGATAGTTTCCGCGGCGGCGTCCGCCATGCCCACTCGTGTTCCCATTGCGAGCAGACCGTTTTGCTGGCTGTTGGGGAGTATCCGGCGCAGTCTCCATGACGGGTGGGGGGAGGATAGTTTCTTCAACCACGGGCTTGTTTGTTGTCCGATTGTTGGAACGCGGAGGGGGATATTCGTCGGAATGCTCCGATTCTGTATTTGATAAATCATGGTCAGATCATGTTGCCCCTTCCTTAACAGCCGTCGACAATATTGTGTCCGAGGGGGAGATAATCGATTTGGGCTCGACGTGAAGCCACGCACCTTCTTTCCTAGCCTCCTTATTCTTGTCGCCGCTCCTGTTTCTAGTTGAGGTGCGTTTTCCTGCAGCGGATGGATTTGCATTCGAATGGCGAGAGGAGGTGCCGCGCGACTTTTTGGTCGAAGAGGGGGCTGTGATTCCTTTCCCAGACTTTTCGTCACTTGATTCGATGGGCCCATTGGTTGGGGAGTCTGGTGAATCCGAGGTTCTTCGTCGTTTCGAGTCTTGTTTCGGTCTTATGATTGTTAGCTGTTTTGTTTGCCCAGGGCGAATCTGGAATGAGCAAAGGTTGTACTTACTCATCAGAGCCTTCACTGGTGCCTCGTTTCCTGCTTCTTGAACTTGTTCCACGTGTTGAACTCCCGGAAAGTTTGTCGTTCTTGCTTTCCTCTAAAACTTTCTTGAGGATAGCATCATCATATTCAGCATCACGGGAGTTCATGGTGGTCCGACGCTTGTGAGGGATTTCCTTGCTATTTATGGGTGACGATGGCTCTGAGTGGACTGGTAAATAAAGTGAGGTTCTCATTCTGTTGTAATCTAGTTAAAATCCATCAAGCAAAAGAAACCCACAGGTGCTTTCTCGTGGTCAAGGCTCGTTGAAAGCCTCAGCCCAGAGAAAATCTTCTTCACAGGGGATGGAAAGGTAAACTTACCCAGATTTACTGGTCCCCTGCTTGTGCAATTCGGGTTTACATCGCTCACAATAGTAGTTCTCTGGAGTAGACGCACTGTCAGTGATTCCTACGCAAAAACCGTGTTGCCAAACATGGCACTGGTCACACTGAATGAAGAGACCGTCCGAATCAGCTTGATCATCATCACCGCCCTGGTACTCCTGATGGCCGCAAATACATCGTGTGACTTCGTCTTCCTGTGATCCTGCATCGTCAATCTCTTCCTCGCCTGTGCCGTTGACTTCTGCAGTGGGTTCTAGATGAGACTCAAAAGGAATCTCCCCGTGACCTCCGCGTCTGGGGTGACCTATGTCGTGGTCAGCGTGAGAATCGTTGTCGTGATGCTTTTGGAGGCGGCCACGATTCGATGAGGTCGATGAGGAGGAGGAAGATGAGTGAGAAACTGGCACTGGGTTTGCTGCAGAGCGCGCGCGGGAAGAACGACGAGGAGAGGCCATGGTTGCTGGCTCGAAAAGGGCGAGAGTGAGGTGAAGGCGAGGAATGGGGGATGGGAGGTGAGGAGGGGGATGGAGTGGAAAGGAGGGGAGCAGGAAACTGAGCAAAAGCTGGTTAAGAGAAGCCCCGAGTGTGTGGTGGATAGTAGCAGAGATTGAGCTGGAAGACTGGTAATTAGGGACTCCGGGAACGAAGTGGGGTGAGTACGAAGACAACGAATTATGGTGGAATGCTGAATAGAAGAAAGGCCACAGAGGAGGGGGGACGAGTGAGCAACTGTTTCATGGATAGGCTTGAGGGGGAAGCGGGCAAGCGTGTGAGCGTGCGAGAGTCCTTAGGGGAACGTCAGAGGGGGGGGTGTGGGAATAACTTTGTGTTGAGAAAGAAGCGGGAATAAAAAGGGTAGAGGAGGGGAGAAAAGAAGAGGCGAAAAGAGGAGGGTGAGTGAGAGTGACGAGAGGGAGGGAGGGAGGGAAGGGCAGACTGGCGGACTGACAGATTGACTGAGAAACTCCGGGAGAGGATGAGAGAGGCCGGACAAGAACACACAGAAAGGCAGCACAGAGAACTAACTGCGGCCAGAACTTACAGTAGTAGCAAAGTGGGCGGGCGCGCGACCGCGCTAGCCCGAAAGTGGCACCCTGCAGCCTCATTTTCCACCAATGAAAGATGACTACTGCGACCCTGCAAGAGGTGCAATGAAATGTCAATTATCGAGGAGAAAGCTTCTCGCGTGGATACAGATGGACTCACTGTTCGCCTACGATCACCACCATGCCCATTAGCACGGCGTTCTCAACATGTTTTTTTGATATCCGCTCTGTGAACGGCGGGCGGTGGGGCCAGAATAGGCTTCAGCTCAAGGGGGAAGCAGGAAAGCCAAAGCAGTGAGAGCAGCAGCAACAGCAGCAACCGCCAGTTATCCACCCCTCTTCATCTTCTCAGCCGGTGTACCGTTGTTTTTTTCCGGCGCAGGGTCTCCGGGGCCTAACCAGTGAAGAAACGAAACAAAAAAGTCCATCTCTTTTTCTTTCTTTTATTATCATGAAATCTCTTGATAATAGACGTTTCTGGAGAGGGAGTTGTTGTTGGGAGTTTGGAGCGTGGGGCTTGAATACCGATTTATTCGGACCTGGTACGGTGGTCACGACAGTGGCCTTTTTTTTTTTCTTTTTCTTCTTTTTCCCCCTTGCCCTTTGGTGGAGGGGATAGGGGGAAACGTAAATTTAGGTCATTGGAACTTGGGTGGGAGCTGGGAAGGAGGGAGGGCGGAACAAATGGCAGAATCCCACAAACGAGGATTCAGGAAAAGCGGCTCTGGAAGGAGGTCTCAATCGGCCCAGGACGAGACCTAATTTGGTGATGACGATTTGCCCGTCGCTCCTATGAAGCCAGGGAATAAAAGGGGAAAAAGGAAACATTGCATTTCTTGGCATGAGACATCCTTCCTCTTCGAACACCCACACGGATAGCAAGTCCACCACCGAGCCCTCTTGCCTCTACTCCTCCGTTCCTGGCCCTGAGATCCGACACTTTTCTTCCTTTTTCCTCCGACGATATTTATCGCTGCCCATCCCGATAACTGCCCCGGTAGCTGATTATCTCTGGGCAATGATAGATAATATGCGATGCTTTGTGCCGATCCGATGTGGATAAAGGGCCCGAGAGTTCACTATCCGCTAGAATCCAGCGCATCTCTGGAGGTTGAGAGTCTGTACTGATATATCCGTTGATATGTTTCTTTGCATTGCCGTAAGGCTTGAAGGTGCGAATTAATATTGCCCTTTGGAGCCGTTGGTTGGAATATGGTATCGTACAAGGATTTATCGAGGCTCTTCTACGTGCCACATTGTCCGCCTGCTGCTGTTTGGCTCCGACTGGATACTTGGATGCTCCTGCAAATTGTGTGAGGAGAGAGCTAACGGCCACCGCTCGCTCGTTCCTATTGGCCTGCCCTTGGGTAAACTTTTGTGTTTTATTCCCACCCTTTTTGGCCTCGACGGGACTGCTCTCCACTTTCAAGATTCAACGCCAGTATGACAAGCGGGTTGGGGGATGCGCCGGCCAATCGCTCCGCGATGAATATCCGTATCACACAAATCAAAAAGTGGCCTCGTAAGGATAGGAAATAGAAGTCAAAAATAATAATCCACACGGTTCCATTCGTCTTTCGGTTGGGTGGAAAATTTTTGGCGGAATTGTGTTCTCAACCACATCGGTGCACCCAGACTCCAATACCTGGAGCCTGGGTCTCGATAAGATAAGGCGTCATGGGGATCCAGGTACGATGCAATCCCATGCGCCATTCTGTAAGCTTGAGGATGTAAAACGGATAAAAATAAAATAAAGGTGATTCTCTGAACAAAGCACTGGATGCAATAGTTATCCTCATAATATGTTCGCCAAGGGAGAGGACCTTTGGTTTGGACACATGACGAAGGGTGTTAATCCGTAACTTAGACTCAGCATACCCGTTGTCTAATATCAGCTCGGATCAGGGGAAACTTTTTGCATGAGATCCTTTCGTCATAAGAAGAATCATCTTAGGGCTGTCATGGGACGGCCTTGTATAATAATGTCTAAATTGCGGCTGCTTAGGAATGGTACAAGTATTCACACTTGGCAGCTAAGAATGACCTGGGGATAGGGATCTAATTTTCCGGTGGGAACAAAAAAATCCAAGTCTAGGAAATATCAGGAACGGAGCAGCTGTATCCGAATATTAAAGTATCATACGGAAATGAAGATCTGGTCCGCTTAACCTCTGGTAAAGCCGAACGAGTACTCGAGTACAGTATGATACATCAATCAAATTTAAGGATTTTAGGAAGAAGATGGCCAGATGGCCTTCGGTGGACACTACTGGGCTATGGTTCTTGAGGGGGGGGTGGTGTGGGAGCTGCTTGCCCTATCAAGCAGTGCCGAGACTAAAACCCAGAGAGACTCCAACCAGATGGTCCCACCTCACCACTCAACTCAACTCATCACGCTTTGGAGAAAACCCACTCCAGTCCCTCATATATTCCCTACTTACTTTCTCTCTGCCGTATCATCTGTCTCTGCAGCTGCATCCTCTCTATCGACTGCAATCGACTGCTATCCACTCATCTTTCTTGAACCTTAGCTTCCACCTCGTTTGCCCTGTGTTCTGACCATCTTTGAATCTGCCCCTCTCATTTCAAAAGGCAAGTCCCCCCTCCTCTATATTCCTGGAGAGGCTCTCTTCTCTGCATATAGATGAATGATGCCATGCGTGTTCCTGTCGCATGCGTGGTGTCTTGAAAAAAGATACCTCTTCTATTGGTGCCCATGACTGACAGGTTCCTGCACTTCTATACAGATTACCTCGAATACCTATCCTCCAGAGCACTTTGTTGGGCGATATACAATTGCGTGGACACGGGCTGGGAATTATTAGCTCATCTACTGCCAATATGTCGGCCGCTGTGGGTACGGAATATCCCTATCTATCCCTTTCCCGCTCCTCTTGTAGGATCCCTCTACCCTTGATCCCGTTCCTCCCCGGACATGCCTGTTGCAACATTCTACACATCAATACAGAAGAAGTACTGGACTTAAATAAGCATTTTGTGGGCAGCAGCAGATTCTAGCTATAGTTTGGTCCACGGGAGGCCCATCAGACCTCTTCCGAAACGCCGACTTCGTTCCCGATTGTCCGCCGATGCCAATGCCGCTTTGTTTGGCCCCCCTCAACAACCCACCACCCCACTATTCTACTTTCCCTATAACAATTACGCTGGTGATCAAGCAATTGGTGGGGCTAGTGCTTCTGCTGGGCTTGGTTTGGGGCAAAACGGTGCAGGGGATAACCTTCAAGATTCTTCGGATGAGGAAGATAACTCCAATGCATCTGTGTCGCGTGGGGTCGGTAGCGGGGCTTCGGGAGCCTCGGAGAACATGCCAGGTCAGCCGGATTCATATGAATGGTCGGAAAACACCAACAACAAGAAGAAAAGGAAGATTCCAACTCCGGCAAATCCTGGAGGCAGTAGTGGGGGTAGCGGGGGAGGTAATGGCGGTTCTCATTCATCACCGGGGTTCTCACCTACATCTACACCTACCACCCGAAGCCGCTGGAAATCTAGTGGATCATCTCAACGTTCTCCATTGTCTGCCATATCCACTGGAAGTCAGGGCTCTTTGAGAAGGGTCGGTCGATGTTATCCGTCTTCTCCTTCGGTAGAGACGTTTACCAAGAGGCTTCCAGATGGGCGACCCTCCAGTGGTGATCCCGTCACACCCTCGAAAGGTAGTCGTCGTAGTGCTAGTGTAGTGGCGGGTGTGGGGCCGCCAAAACAAACTCAATTTACTTTTATCTGCGAGTCACCAGTGTCCGCAAGCCTAGCGTTTTCCTCGGCTGGTAATAGATCCACGAACGCAATTCCACCAGGCGATAGTTCTGGACACCCAAAGTCGATGAATACTGTCGGTACTCAGACTTCCCCAAGCATATCGAATACGAATGCGAGTTATCCTCCAGCCCCACAGCAGCCCAAAAAAAAGTCCGGACAAGTTAGGTCTGCTGCTACTTCAAGACGAGATTATGCCTTACTGAGACGCCGCCGTCAGGAAGCTTTGGGCGGAGGGAATAGTAATGGTGAAGTTTGGATTTGCGAATTTTGCGAATATGAGTCTATATTCGGCGAAGCTCCAGAGGCCCTTATGCGGCAGTATGAAATCAAGGACCGTAAGGAACGACGGAAGCTGGCTGAGAAAAGGCGCTTGCTGGAGAGAGCGAAGCAAAAGGGAAAGAAAAATTCTGGCAAAAATGGATCTAGCAAGAAAGGTGGTTATAATAATGGTGTGCATCACGGTATCAATTCCGGGACTGCACCCCCGCCACCCCCTCCCAGCACTACCGATTCTCAAGGCACCCAAAGCGACAATACCCCGGTTGCTAGTACAACCAATACGCCAGCTTTGAAGCCTCAGAGACACAGTCAACAGGTACAGACTGAGGCTTACCTGGAAGACACCAGTAGTCATGTCAGTGGAGGAAGAGGAGCAAATGGTGCTGGTGGTGGAGGAGGTGCAGGGGCAAAAAGCGGTGGTGGGGGAGTTGGCCTCGGCCCCTCATAGCAGTTTGGGCAATGGAGGTGGAATTTAACTATCCGCCTTCATTCCTTAATTTGGTGGGCTATTTGGCTGAGCTTTTGTTGTTTTTTCCTTTGTGGTTATTTCTTCCCGTCCTTTCTTTTTGTATGGCTCCTAGGACCTGGGGATGACCATATGGTGGAAATTCCCGAGGCATAGCTGTGGGTTTCTCATCCCGGTTTATGGGCCGGATTTATTCTACAATTTTTTTCGTTACCGCTAATCCTCACTTGTTATTATTGCCTGTTCATTCATTCCTTCTTTCCGTCCCCTCGGCCCGATTTCAAAGCAAGTGTTTGGTGGGTTTAAATTGGTGGGTCGTGGGCTCAGGGCCCAGAGCATTTGGGTTCTTTGTTTTTTTTCCCGTACGTCGAACACCGATGACTACATCTTCTCTGCTGCTCTGTTATTTTCATATCTGACCAGGTGGTATCACCTTTCGCAGCGCGCCTTTCTAACTTACCTATAGATTATGAAGAGTTTGCCCTTTCTCTTTCCAGCGGCTTACTCGGCATGGGGTCGGGTTTGTGGGAGGCGGGCGAGGTGTTTTGGTGGAGTCTATAGGAAAAGTTAAGTTTTTGTATGATAACATATAAGGGACGTGATGTGAGGGGTTGGTTATGGATGGCACTTTGGGGATTCGCACCGCATAGCCTGGTATGTATGGCTCTGGGCGAAGCAGTAGAACTGAATCTGATAACTACCGTACAAGGCACTTCTACCCAATTATTTTACTTGCTTCGAGTCCTAGTTGCCTCTAGATGTGCCATGCCACTTACTATATGACAGTAACCCGAACCTTGCAGCGTGAGTTAATGGGACAGCTTGCGCTAATCTTATCATTGATTGATATCTGGGAATTGTAATTCCGGTGATCCTACTGATATTTAGTGTGGTCATAGGGTTAGGGTGGGGGAAAAGGTTGGGAGAAGAGGTCACCGATTAATCCACGGATCCTTCGCCTCACAAATCCTCACAAGTTACCACCCCCTCCATTGTATCCGAACAACAAACCTCGCGGCCATACCATCATTAGTTGGTTGGCTATTACAATTCTCTTGCAATTATAGGCTTGGTTTTGCTTACCACTGAACCATCCCCCCGAGCCGTTCATTTCCCCTGTCAGCAACCCCACCACGACCAGTAATCCAGTACATCAAGCAAACAATCCCACATCATGGCATTTGCTGGACAGACACCCACAATCATTGTGCTTAAGGAGGGTGAGATAGCCTTCATCTATTTTCTATTTTCCATTTACTACTTTCCTCCGGTATCCATAAAAGACAAATTAACTGACCTCCAGCCTGTTCTACCAAGCAGGGACCGACGCATCACAGGGCCGTGGTCAAATAATTTCCAACATCAACGCATGCCTGGCTGTGCAGAACACCGTCAAGAGCACTTTGGGACCTTATGGCGGTGATCTCCTGTTAGTTGATGCCAACGGTAGGCAAACCATTACAAACGATGGAGCTACGGTAATGAAGGTTTGTGCCCGAACCTTATTGGTCCTACTACCATACCACCGTTTATTTGACATATTGGTATATAGTTATTGGACATCGTACACCCCGCCGCAAGGATATTGACGGATATCGCAAGATCACAGGATGCTGAGGTTGGTGATGGAACTACATCGGTAGTCGTATTAGCTGGCGAAATACTCAAAGAGAGCAAGCCCTATATCGAGGAAGGTGTCAGCTCCCAGATTATTATCAAGGGCTTCAGGACTGCTGCTAGATTGGCGGAGAGCAAGATCAAGGAGATTGCAGTACGGATTGAGAAGGGTGACCGGCGTGATACATTGTTAAAACTGGCGGCTACCGCTATGTCGTCGAAGTTAATCAAGTCCAATTCGAGCTTCTTCTCAAAGAGTATATTCACTCTCAGCGAGCTGGGATGTGTGTTCTATCCAGCGTGTAGTGGCTGATGGGGTATCTAGTGTGCGTCGATGCGGTTATGTCGTTGGACCAGGAATCGCTGAACGAGAAACTTATCGGCATCAAGAAGGTTCCCGGTGGCGGTTTGCAAGACTCACTGTTTGTCAATGGTGTCGCGTTTAAGAAGACTGTGGGTACGCCGCCCTCGTGTCACAAAACTGGTGGTTAATTTTAGCAGTTCTCTTACGCTGGTTTTGAACAACAACCCAAATCCTTCAATAATCCAAGGATTGTATGCTTGAATGTCGAGTTGGAGCTCAGTGAGTCTATTTAACCCTCGCGATATGCTATAGGACTAACATTGGCTATAGAAAGTGAGAAGGACAACGCCGAAGTCCGAGTAGAGCAGGTTTCAGAATATCAAGCAATAGTAGATGCAGAATGGCAAATAATTTTCCAGAAGATGGAGGCTTTGGCCAATACTGGAGCTAAGATTGTTCTCTCGAAACTGCCTATTGGCGATCTTGCTACGCAGTGAGTCAGGTACCAGACGGTGCATAGGGTTGAAACATTACTGAGATTCTCTACAGGTACTTTGCAGACAGAGATATCTTCTGTGCTGGAAGAGTTGCCTCTGAAGATATGGACCGTGTCATTCAAGCTGTTGGTGGTGCCATACAATCTACTTGCTCGGATATCCGTGGGGAGCATCTAGGGAACTGCGAACGCTTCGAAGAGCGACAGATCGGTAGTGAACGTTACAATTTTTTTGAAGGCTGCCCACAAGCGAAGACCTGCACCCTCGTGCTCCGTGGAGGAGCAGAGCAGTTCATTGCGGAAGTGGAGCGTTCCCTTCACGATGCTATCATGATCGTTAAGAAAGCAATCAAGAACGACTACATTGTTGCCGGAGGTGGTGCTGTCGAGATGGAGTTATCAAAATATCTGCGCGAGTACTCGCGCACTATCGCTGGAAAACAGCAGTTGATCATCGGGGCTTTTGCAAAGGCTCTTGAGATTATTCCGAGACAGCTATGTGACAATGCCGGGTTTGATGCTACGGATATTCTCAACAAGCTTCGTATGCGTCACGGCAAAGGCGAGACTTGGGCTGGTGTGGACATCGTTAACGAGGGCATTGCTAACAATCTGGAAAAGTTTGTCTGGGAGCCCACTGTAGTCAAGATCAATGCTATACAGGCAGCGACCGAGGCTGCATGTTTAATCTTATCAGTTGATGAGACTGTCAAGAATCAGGAGTCAGAACAGCCCCAAGCTGGACCTCCAGTATGTCACCGCCTTTCACGAGATTTTCACGAGATGTTTATATGATTGCTAACTATATTACAGATGCCTCGTGGAGCAGCTCAACGAGCTTTGAGGGGAAGAGGGAGAGGAATGCCTAGGCGGTAGAGAGCAAATAGATTATTCCAGAGGGAGCAGTTATGAGCGACATGCGTTTACACAGGGCATTGAAAATGGGATGTGGCGGTAGATAAAGAGAGAGAAAGCCAATCATTGCTCCGTAATCAACAGGCCCCGCAGAGATATGTAGCTCTATTTTGTGTGAAGATATTGATTCCACTAGTTGGTCCGTTCGCTCGATGTATTATTACACATAACTAATGAAAACACCCACGATGAGGGGGTTGGCTGGGCAGAGGGACACATGTATCATTTTTATCAGAACCCCAATTTACTAATGCTGTCCGAAGTATGAAAGTAGGAATAAAAGAACTGTAGAAATCCCCCCAATCCTCGGCAGGCCCTTCCCAGCGCCAGAACTACAAACTCTGTATCAACGAAACATTATCCCCTTTGAGTAATATCTGGCCTGGTTCCCCCCCCCCCAATCACACTGTTGTCAGCCCAAAATCACCACCGGAAATAATGAGAAAGCACAAAAAAATAAAAATAGACTAAACTAACCTAACTCTCTTCGGCTCTCCTCCTCATCCTTAGTCTTGAGCTTAACCTCCACCGCATCGTCAATGACGAGGTTCATGAACTCGTCGAAGCCCTACGACCAGATAGCCCCGTTAGCGAGCGAGGGTGGGGGGGTAAAGGGGGGAGAGGGGAGGAGTACTCTGATCTTGCCCTCGATTCGTATGGCTAACTGCTCGTAGAGCCATATTTGAACCGTTGAGTGGGATTGCAGGAGTTTGAAGATGAAGTTGATTGGTGGGAGGAGGACGCGTCGGCCGCCACCGCCACCTCGGGATGCCATTGCTTTCAGATGATTTGGAGAGCCGGTGCGGGCGACGAGATATGATGGAGGTCGTGGTGAAGGTTAGTGTGTTAAGGCGGGTATGATAAGTGGTGGTGGTGGTGGTGAAGTTGTTGGTTGATGCTCTGCTTTGTGGCACGATGTGGGTGTTATGTCAGCGAGTTGCGGCTAGGTGTGCAGTCACCGGTTGTCACTCGTAGGGGGGTTTTTTTTTTCTATTTGAGAAATTATCAGGTTTCTTTGAACGAGAAACAAATGAGGCAAGCTCAGGATTTTTATCAATGAAATAATTCAGTTAAAATGTGTAGGGTTAAAATTTTTTCAGCACATCTCCACTGCTCAAGCCCGAGCGATGGATTGAACTTGGTGAGGAAGTATTAACTTATACAGTTTTTATGAAGGCTTCCTTCCCCGTTGACGGAACCGTGCTAGCACTCGCCGTGACCATCACGTGCACGAGCTCGATTTTTGGTGATGAAATGATAAGGTGCAGTACTAGGGAACTGGAGGGTGCTTGCTTGGCTTCCGCTCAAACTCTCGGGGTGTCGTGTGTGTACGAGTGCTAGTACTATATGGTACGGTCACCCGCATCTGTCGCTGAACTATATTACCTTTTTTTTTTCTTTTTCTCACCTTTTTATCCATTATGATATACTATCATACCGTAGAATATGGATTACAGACATCCTGTCCCGTATGAGAATTTAAGGTGTTAGAGTTCCATATCCCAGGTGGCTGAGCAACAGTTTTTAGTGAGAATTAGCATGATATCATATCATACATCCCACAATGCATTCAGGATTGTCACGCTTTTCATAATACTTGTGTGAAAGTTGGTTTGGGGCTTAGTCTTCCGGAGTCATATGATATATCTATTGTTTACAAACATACCTTGAAACCTAATGTATCAAATTTTTGGCTTAGGTATTTTCCTTTTGTATCATTGAAGGGCGTTATCATACATATATAGCTATTATTATTATTAGGCCCGCATTTAACTACAGGTATATAGTTATTGAAATGTAAAAAAGTCAGGTCAGGTCATAAGTTTGTGTTGAGCTAGAAAGCGACGTTGAGCTGCAAAGTGATATTAAGCTGTTGGGCACTCGTAGAGTGTGCCCCGGAAAAGCGGGCTCGGAAGGGATTGTGGGTTGTGGTCTGAGTGCAGCAACCTTGGCACGAGTATGATAGCGATAGTTGGAGCTTCCATAGGGGCACTGGCACTTCGGGGGTGGAGGTGCTTCTTCGAATTTCCCGTGCCATCAGGTTGGGCTCCCTACTTGAATACCCACCCCTAGGGTGGGTGGCCAGGTGGTGTGGTAGTTCCTCTGTTAGGATTTTTTTTTTGATTCGCCTATTAGGATGGGTGTACGGTACTGTATACCCTGCGATCTATAACCTTGGATTTCCCATCTGTCTCAAATGGAATTGGTCGCTCTGGCATCACTTGAGTCAACCGTCATTTGTTGGGGGGGAATAAAACGGTTGGTACAAACATATACTATATTCCGGATCGAAAAGTGATTCTCTGGACCCATTACACCGGAAATATTGGAAGTGCTAGCGAGGGGTGCCCAAAGAGAGAAAAAAAAGGGGGGGGAACAAAAGATGTGGAGAATCCTGATTTTATTTGTGGTTAGGGCAGGGAGATAGATGGTTGTTGATGACGAGGAGAGGTTATATATAGTAGAAGGAAAAGCTCCTTTCCACAAGCGTGCCAACTAAAAGTTTTGAGTTCCCTATGGGGTGGAAATAGAGTTCGGGATCCAGGCAGTAATTAGAGGCCCCAGGAGCAAAAGTATATATACTCGTACAACATCTTTGTGTTATGATATCACGGTCCGTATGTGTGTTCGGCCGATGGAGAAACCGTGGGGAAACCACCAGGCACTTCCCGGGGAGGAGCTCGTTTTCACTGCGGAATATGATAGATGCAAGCCAACCGCACGAGAGCATACATTCCCGCCCGCAAAGCCTTCGCTGACGGAAAGGCATCGCGGCAGGGCTTTAACTTCAAGGAAGATACCCGTACCATCACCCCGCATTCGTCAAGGATACAAATCGTCAGAATTGACACTCTAGCAAGCTGCTTGAATAGTTTGTAAACAGTGAGTTTACTGTAGGTGGTATATATATATCATATCATATCGTATCAACCGGCGGGGTGCACTTGTTCTGGGACCGTGCCAATACGCGTGTTGGGAAAGAGCTGTGGATAATAAGTTAGTAGATACTCTCTTACTGTCAAGGCCTTGCAAGAGTGCCTTTGCACCCCCGGGTGCTCTGCGGATGGGAGTGCACAGCGCAATACTATACTATACAAGGCTTTGTACGATGTTCAATGTGTAGAAGGGTAGTTTGTGTGATATTCAGCAAGATTTAGTGCTAGTTGCACCCCGTTTATCCACTTTTCCGTGCAGCCACCGATGGGGTGAAAAAGGGGGGCTTCTTCCAGGACTCTGTGAGTGGGGATTTGAGGGGTGATATTGGTCTCACAGGCATAAGTGCCGCGGAGTGAGAGAGAGCTCTGGGGAGCTATGATACTGTTATAGCATGGATGCTCGGTGATCATCCTCCCTCGCTGCAGGGTTAACGTAGAGCTGTGGGGTCGGGATGAATTAGTCTTGACATCACATCGTGTCTAGCTAGTTTTCCCATCCGCCCGTACAGCATGGTGGTCGGGATACTTCCTCAAGGATTTATAATAGAGCGGGTATCGCACTTCCGCTAGCTATCGGTGCACTGTTATGAGCATCTCCATGTCTCCTATCCCCAACGAGAAATAAGAGCTCAGAGATGTGGATAATTGTGATACTATCATATGAATACTTTCAAGTAACATAATATCACTCGAGAGTTGGCTCTCTCTCTATGAGCAGTCCAGCCATGGGATACCGCACAGGACCTTCTAGTTATACTTTTGGCCCGAGAAGGAAGCGGTTAGTATCATATGTGTAAGCTCGAAGCATGCAACCTGAGCAGCCCCCAAAGCCAGTACACGGTACTCGTACCGTACCCGCTGTGTTGTTGAGCTGCGGGCATCACACGAATTCCAGAGTAGGCAATCAAGTTACAATATATAATGCACTCAAAATGAGGGTTTCCGAAATTGTTGACCCGACCAGTATTTCCCCACCCCGTGACCATGAAAAGCCCTATTAATGAGCCACCGCCATGGGAATAGCAGAAATGGCATCCGCAACGACCTGAACCTCCCGGTGTCACCCGCAGATCCATCGGCATTGCTGGGTGGCTTCCAATTCAATAAGAAGCAGCGTGGGCAAGTCCATTAGACCAAGCGAGGGCGCCGATATACTCGTACCATCGATCAAACTACTGTACCACACCCACGATCTACATAAATCATTCCCGGCATCGGACGGAACAAAGTGCCCATGACCTGTGCACTATCATGCATCATCGCCACTGTACTGTACTAGTACTTGTACAGCAATTCCAACAGTATCCGGGAATCCGTGCGCCAAGCTTCTAAGAAATTATAATACACGAACACCGCGAGTCTTAACAGCACGATTTCCGTATGGACTAATAATATGATACTTTTGGAATTGGCTGGCACGGTATCATGGTTCCCGCAAAATCTGTAGGGGGTTCGTGAAGTGCTTGTTACTATGCTCCCCCCCCCCATTCTGAAGACATTAGAGGGTGTCGAGTGCGGCATCGTTCCTGAGGATACATGTCTATCATACTCCATATTCGAGCACGAGCACCGGTAGGTATGATGGGGGTCTCGTACCGTGCCGTATTTGAACGAAACGATGCCACGTCCATGTCGGTGGTCCCCACCTTATCGTATATATCATAGTCTAGTTTACAAGCGCTGTGCATCCCCCCGACCAAGAGAGAGAGTATAATATGTAGACAAACACTTTCTCTCCCATGGTATCTGTGGAAATACGATTGATCGGCAACGCATCATACCGTAAACGGAACCATTTTCTATAAATATTACAAAAGTGTCGATATTGGTGGTGAGCATAGGCACCACTCGCACTGCGAGCCAATCGGAGGAGAAAAGTGGCTCTACCGTATTTGATACGACCCGGGGGGGCTATCAGCAAAGTGCTGGTCTCGCACCAAGGTACTCGTATACGGTGTCTGTGCCTCGGCCCGCCAGTCTGAATCACACGGTACGAGTACTGGTACTACAGTACCAGTACAAATGTGCATGAACCTTTGTGAGCCTGGCAGGTAACTTACGATAGGTACTGGATGTATTCTTGTTATTATATGAATAGAGCCCCCCCCCCCTCCCCGCTCTTCTACTGGTACACGATCGGTCAGGTCTATGATGTGTATGATACTGTACGGTACTTGTACGAGCAGTCTCGCAGCCCTACCTTGCTCGTCGTCATCAGGCACTGATAGGCAACACGCCCAACCACGCTTACAGTATCACCTCACCACGTAATCACACCTCACTCAGGGTATCCCCCGGCCAGTTAACTCGACCCCAACAAACCTTTCGACCGGGGCAGCGAGCAAGCAAGCAAAGAAAGCTACATATGATACCGGTATGATGGCAAGGTTGGCTCCTCCCTACTGTACTGTACTTGTACTGTACTTGCACTTGCCGTGTTCACAACACCAACCAGACCAATCCCATTTGCCACCACAAAAAAATCATCAGCCACGCTTCCTTTTACCCCCACCCCCGAATGAAAGGCTGTAGATACCGTGGCGTAGAAGAGAATAGGGTGAATGAAGGAATAATAATAATGATGAAAACAGGTGAAAAAAAGCTGTGATAAACTTGTATGATACTATCGTAGTGCAAACTACCGGTACATCATAATGAAGGAAAAACCCCTTCCGGCCGGTTTCTCAGCGTATCATATCATAAACTGTAATACTAGTAGTTTAACTTACCGCACTAATATCTAATTTGCTCGTAGGGTCAGATGGCTGCGCGGCACGATGAGATGGATGGGATGGGAATGGGTTGAGATTGTTTTTCGGGGTTGTCTCCAGTCAGCCTGATACGGTATTATATCACGCTTTTTCTTGCTGGTGTAATGTTTTTCCCTTTCCCTTTTTTTTCCCCAGTCCCCCCTCTTCGCCGCTTCGTTTTGCCCCGAGTAATCTTTGCGTAGCGTACATGTAGCGTAACGTACCGGTGTCGTATCGTACGGTGTTGAATAGGGAAGAGAGGAAGGAGCGTGGAGTACGGAGGTACAGCGCCTAAGATTTGTATATTTTGCTAGCAGGGGTTGTTTCGTTTGCAGGGGGCAAGGGTGATAAAAGAGGTATAGTGGTGTTAGACTTGGAGATTTTTAGATAAGTGTGAAAAAACTTTCACCAATGTCCACAGCCTTGGGATCTTTCAAATGATAAATGCCCAGGGGAAAGCCATGTACCATAAATAAATTCTAATTGATAAAACTTCCAAGGCCCAACAATTCTTCTATTCCCTCTTTTCCCAATCAATTAAGATTGCCATGCCAATTACTACAAGCTCAAATCCCAAAGCCTTCCATTAGACTCGTAACCAAAGACGACATTGTCAACTCCTACAGTCAATAGGATGGAAATACAGACAAATCTAAGATGAGATGGGATTTTCAGTACAGCAGATATAGTATACTTGCGCATCACCTTCAACACCAACAAAATGCTCTGGCCACCCTCCTATTCTGACTCAGGTACAAATCAAAGACCTGATCAAGTACATTTGCATGTCTGCATGTAATCAATGTTTATCATATCAACAACTAGCAGAAGAGTTAGTAGAGTTTGGTATTGGACAGAGGGCAATTCGGGCAGCATTGATGAGTGAGGATTTCCATTGATATTTGGCAATGTGGAAACCCCCTATTATGGAAAGTGTT